CATATTTCGAATAAAATATTTAAAAAATTTTAAACATTTTTTTTTTTTGAGAGGCAAAAAAAATTACTTATGTACTTTTTTTTTTTCTTCATCAAGCCCAGGAGGAAAAACCTTGCTTGTAGCAAGTGGCACTGGGAGAAGCACTTTAAAATACAAGAGGACAGTATACAAATGTCACACTATATTATAGGATTAAAGGATATACAATATATTGAGAATAATTGAGAGATTTCTAAAACTAATTTTCATTTTTCTTATACTGTAAAACTACGTACATGTTATAAATTAAATTAAAATACTTTACAGCCTCAAATGTTTATATATCGGGCGTTGGTATGTAACGGCAGCATTTGATTTGTCTTCTACCATAACGTTTATGGTACATTAATCTCTAGCTATTCTAAATAAAATTATTGATTATATTATTTGCCTTCAAAATGCAAATGTTTATTAAGATATCTTTACATATAAATGCTGTGACTGCCTCAACACCAAAAAAAAAAAAAGTTTTATTTTTTTTCATTTTGTTCTTAAATAGGATTTAAGTAACATTTCCTTTTTTATACAGCTTGTTTTCTTGGCACAAGGTTGGCCGGGCTAAACAACAAAATTGCATACCTTTCTTGCTTGATTTTGCATTTCCCCAATGTGTTTTTTTAATACTAGAGTCATTGAGGGTGTTCTTAAACGTTCAATAAGGTATGGAATGTTAACGTCAAAATGAGTTCTGGGTACGTAATAAATAGTGTGGCGTACGATTACTCACAAAGTGATCAACCAATACTATGTCGTGATTTAAAATGTGGCCTGCTATTGGTTCTTGGGTGAATGTCTACAACTGAACTGGCCAGCCACCCAATCAGTATTTCTCTTTTCAGTGAAACATAGATATTTATATTTCCCACCTTTACACATAAATTTTAATCTAAAGCTGCTACAAGTATCCTTTATACAAAAAAAAAGTTGTCCAACTCCATTGTCTTGCAGTTGTCCAGGCAGATGCTAAAGATGCAGTGTTGAGTGATATGGAGCTTATTGGTTGGTGGTGCAAGGCTGAAGATCTTGTAGGCGAAGATATAATCAATAAATAGAAAAGTTTCTCTTCTGAAAGCTGTGTCCAGTGTGTCTATACCATTGCTACTTACCCATAATTTTGCATTATTGTATTGAATTAAGACATATCCTGCATGACTGCCTTTGTTCCGTAGCTCCCCTTACCCAAAGCACATTTTTCGGTCAAATCTTTTTGTATAAATTGTTTCTTGATATTTGCTTTGGCTCCACATTTAAGTAGGCTTTCATTTACACGGCATGTAACAAAGTATTATAGTAAGGACCAAGAGTGATTACAGATTTCATTATTTTTTTATTTAAAAATAAGACCCCTTCACTGACGATGTTTATCCAAACGCAAGGTGCATTATTTTGTCGACCTTTTATTAGTGGACAGAGATGCACGCGAGTATCCTTAAAAATGTGTATTTATTTAAAAAAAAATTTAATGTTTTTTTTGATCAGTCAATATCACTTTTATTTACTCATCCGTCAGTGTATGTTTTAGTCACAGCTTCATGCACCGGAATTGATTGCATTTTGTAGACAAGAATGAAAACATGCGCCCTTGTTAAATTAGACTGTCAGGAATGCAAGGGACTTGCTCTTTGATTTAATATTGCCAAAAATAAAGCCACAATGGTGCTAAGCTTCGCCAATAAACTCAGACTCCTTGTTGGCTGTTGTTGATGATGTGTTGTACAATGTGAAGTTGTTGTGTTTCTGTATAAAGATTTACACTGATATGGTTCCTTTCAAACGTGTTACAGGATAACTGTGACTCAAAGGCACAGATAAAGCCGTATTATGCAAAAGTAATACTATGTAATTGCCAGTGTTTTCCTACCATACGTAATAAGACCGCCAAGGCATTACAGACGGACCACATAAGGTATTGCAAGACAGTTGCATAGAATTTAAAACACACCTCGTTTTGTTCCACATAACCTTCCCCTTGTATTTGGGGCATGAAGGGAGGAGGTTGGGTGGCTGGGACATTAATCTTGCGCTAAGAATAGACTTTAAATCATGCTGGGCAACCCACAGATTTTTTTGGGTCGAGATTAAACATTCACAGTATTTACCAATGGAACTTGATTTTCCAACTGGCAAAATGTATCTATAGAGTCACATTCCTCACGCACCAACCTTCTCCTCCACATACTTTATTCTACCCCAAAGGTTTTATTGTAAACTTAATACAGCCTTTTACTTTTTCAGATAAAAAAACAAAACAAAAACACTTTCAGTAGAGAGTAGTACAAATTGTAGTGTAACGTACTGCCAACTTTCTTAGTAGGAAAATGCCCCTTTTGATTTTGTTTTGTAGATTTTTTTTGTTTATTTTTTTTTGTATACGGTTAGGCAGTGTCATGGGGGAAATTATCTTAATATGTTTCTTCTGGTAAGTTGTGTTTAGTAGCTAGTTTGTAAAGAGAGTTGATCTCTCCTCGTGCATCTTGTTTTTAATTGTTTAAATAACTTTTTGCTGTGTTTGTACCTCCCTCTACATTGTAGTTATGATTGCTTCAGCCTACATAAAAAAAACAACAAAAAAACAAAATAAAGAAATTCTGGATAAAGGCATTTCATGGTGTCTGTTTTGTTGTACACTGAAAACACAGTTGTTGGTTGGGATTAGTGGGCATCAGGTATGTCCAGATCTGGGAATTTTCTAAATCTGTTGAGCCTGATATATATTGAAATATTAAATCATTTCTATGCATGCTTTAGATCTCAGAGCACATATTCTGAGAGCTTGCTCACTGTGGGTAACTCACACTTGGAAAGGAATATATTTTTACATAAGCGTTCAATCGCACAAGTTACAGCAAAGCAGGTAACACGTTTAATACATGTATTGTTTCTATGACTGAGTGCTAGCAAGCAGCTCAGAGCACAGTTTGCAGCTTGCCTGAGAAGTCCCTTCGACCATACTTCCGCTTTACGTCCCCTAGTGACATCACAGCAGCCAACACATGGTCCATGCAAAGGCTTCTCCTAGAGAGTGTGCTCTGACGCGACATGAGGAGGGGAAGCGAGAGGGCTGTTGGCAGGCATCAATATATGGAATTGGGTGGTGGAGTGGACTGCCAGCAGGGAGGGGAAACAGAAGGGGATATTCACATTACAGCTGTCTGCAGCATGCTGTGTGTGTGGACAACTGATGTAAAATAAGCAGAGAATTCCATCCAGCTATTAACATGTAACTTGGTGATGCAACTAGCCCACAACACACAAATTACTCTGGATGTGCAGCTTTCAAGCTGAAACACTGCATAGACTCTTACCACCATGACCACTCCAAAAAGCATAAGTGGTGATAGTGCTTTGAGCTACCCTTTAAGAAAATGTAATCATCTGCTCTGATCGCCTCAAATGCACAGTTCGCTGGCTCCCAGGTGCTTGGGTTTGCTTGTTCCTGTGAGAGGAGGAACTGGAGATAACCTGGCTTTCATGCTCCTTTGGTACCAATGACAAAGTTAAAGGGAGATGGAGATTCCTAAAGAATGAGTTCAGGATCTCCAAGGTGGTATTTTCTGACATACAAACTGCCTGGAGCTACAGTGGTAGATCTTTGAATACAATGTATGGCTGAGGTTGTGGTGCAGGAAGGAGTATTTAGAACCCAGAGCTAATTTTTCACTTGAGTACAATCTTTATAGCAATGATGAACTACACCTCAATAGAAAGTCTGCTGTGGTGGGAGTTAGGACTAGAAATGTCAAAGAGACAAAAATGACATAGTAAAGGGTGTAGAGTAGGTTAAAAAGGTCAAACTTGATATAAAGCCTAGTATTAATAAAGTGGTTTATGCATTCTAATGAACCTGTTTAAGATAGATGATAGGAATTATTAAAGGTGCAGAGTAGGGCTATTAAAGGGAATTGAAGATTATAGTTAAAGAAATTATGAAAAGCATACACTTTTCTTTAAAGGGATGCTATACTGCCAGGAATACAAAGCTGTATTCCTGACACTATCGCTCCCCCTGCCTCCCTTCTTTCCAGTAAATAAAGTGTTAAAAACCCCTTTTACTTACCTGATCCTACCACAGATGTCCCTTGGCGATGGGTCAAAGCTCCTCCTTCTGTCCTGTGTCAAGCAGACTCTAATGCCACGTGTGCTATAGACCTCCCCATAGGAAAGCATTTAATCAAATGCAATCTGATATCGGACCAAAAGGTCCATTTCAAACCAGGAGGCCCGCTAGTGGCTGTCTCGTAGACTGCCACTAATGGCTAACTTAGTGCTGCAATGTAAACATTGCAGTTTCTTTGGAACTGTAACGTTTAACATTGCAGCATGAAGGGCAATAGGGACACTGTACCCAGACCACTACAATGAGTTGAAGTGGTCTGGGTGCCTACAGTGTCCCTTTAAGTAAAGTTATTTTCACGGATAACAGAATGATATTCTGCAAATATATACCAGGTTCGTACACACCAGTCTCTTGTGACATTAACAGCACTTTACAGATGTCACTAATGAACACTTGAAGAAAAGAAAGGTCTCCTAGAGCAGAAAATATGGTTACCAACTGCCAGATCAATAAAGATGTGACATTTTCTGTCTAAAGTGAGCAGTATGTCAAATGCTAAACAAATCTGTAAACCATTCTGGTGGAGCAGAACATTCTTGGATATTAGTGTCGAGTGTGTTAAGAGCTTTTTAATCCAAGGAGAAATGTGACAAATTTGAGTTATGAAAGATTTTCTTCCACCCATTTTCTGGCAAAATTAGAAATCACTTCATGTTGGTTATATTACCAGCTTCTTTTGGATCAACGGCAGAAACAGATGTGTAAAAGGTTGAACTTAAGAGTGTTGAGTCTTCTTTTCACCCTATGTAACTATGTATCTTTAGGGTCACCATATACTTTTATCTACTATGAAGAACAAGATTTCTTTTTAATAATCAACAGAACATACTAATTACTTTAGAATGAGATACAAAAAGAAGAAAGACACCCTGTTTATTGTACAGTACGTAATATTTAATATGCTCATAGTTTATCATGTCAGACACCTATTTAGGCAGCAAGGTCTGATTCACGGAAGCAATAATTTATGTGGGGCGCTCTCGTGGCCTTGTCACGTACTGCCACCAGAGAGGAGGCAAGTCCCCTTCTTTACGGGCAGGTGGCAACAATTCAGTTCTAGGACCAGCAGCTGGAGTTTCGCTCATTAATTGTTTCACCTGAAGTTGGGGGGGGTGGGGGAGAAAGAGAGAGAGAGAAACAAAAAATTATAAAAACAAAATATCGAACAGGACAAATAAAAAGGTAAATCTGGAAGAGAAGCAGCAGGCAAATAAATACATCCTCACTGACCAAAGTACAGGAGCTATGTTATGATTCCTTCCAGTTAATGCACGCTTAATACGGATTGCTTATTTTACAGCAATAGCTGGAGACCAGTACTAGACACTGCTGATAGTTCCTCCAGGTTTAAAACATGTTTGTCTGTTTGTAACATATCTAAGCAATGAAAAAGCAGCACTGACAAATACTAGGATTGCTCTTAGTCATCCAACATGTATATTGATAAGAACAGCATATACATTCTCCCAGTTTGGTCTTAATACTTAACCTAATGTCAGAATATTATGATTGCTGTTCCTTATGCAAAATTACAGCATTTCCTTTTGGGGACATGCTATCACAATCAAAGATTTCAGACAGAATAATAACTGCAGCAATGTCCACATCTGCACCATACAGCAGCAATACGTCTCATCTCAAGTCTCAATTCAGCAACCCTCCTGTGCAACTCCTCGTTATCCATAAAGGGAAAAACAGCACCAACCACGATTAGCTTCTTTCGAGAGCCAAAACTCCATTCAAAACCTCCAAAGGTGCTGCTGAATGGCTAAGTGTAGCTGGGGGAACTCTTGTCCTACATTACACGTTATTTCACTTTACGTTCATTATCCTATCCTCAGTACCCTCCCATGCCTAAGAGTAGTTACTGTTATGGGTATCCGCATGGTGCTCTGTTGTAAAAAAAAAAAAAAAAAAGTAATTTATACACCGTTCTAGCAGAAATACTACCAAATGTATAGGTTATAAGCTATTTCTATAAAATGTGGAAAACTATGCCAAAGACTGGGGCTGCTTTGTGCTGTGGGTGCAACCAGCCGCAAGACTGGAAAGATCTTTCCTGTCATCCTGGTCTTCCCTCCCACAGCCGCAAGAGGGCAGAGTGTCTGTCTGTCTGCAGAGCCGGCCAGCCACTCCCCCTTCCCTCCTGCTCGCAGTATTACCGAGCAGAGCAGGGCTGGAACTGGTGGACGGGCAGCTCATCTTAACGTAGGAGAAGAGGGGCTTGGGGATTTCCCTGTGCAGTATGTTAAATTGGGGAGGGGGAGCAGTGTATTAATTTGGGGGAGGACAGTGTATCAAAGTGGTGAAAGGGGGGGCAGTGTGTTAAATTGGGGGAATGATAGTGTATTAAATTGGCGTAGGGAGGGAGGCAGTGTATTCAGTTAGAGTGAAGGGAAGGAGGACAGTGTATTATATTCGGAGAGGGTGCAGTGTATTAGATTGGAGGGAGGGAGGCAGTGTATTACATTGGAGCTGCATGGAGACGCTGAACGTTCCCCATGGAGATGCTGACTGACCGCGCAGCTTTTTGCCACACATGCACAATAGCCTCTCAATGCTTTCTTATTAGAAATGGATTGGTAGAGATCATCAAGTTTGATGAGCTCAGCCAAAGTGAAGAACACACTCATATGACTTTAAAATCAACAAGATTCACCATTTCAGTCCCATTACCAAATTTTCCTTAATATGTCAAGGTAGTTGACTGAAACATTGGTTATATGCAAAGGCACGTCTCCTTAAAATAAATTTGCTCTCGTATTTACTTTGAAGTCCTACGAGTGTGAGGACATCCAGGTGTCAGTTGGCAACTTTTTTTATACTGTACTTAATAAACCTACATTTCAATGAAAACTGAAGTTTTGGAGTTTTTTTGCGGCCCACATAAACTTAAACCTTGTTTATTTGGCCCGTGTTAGCCTATGAGTTTGACATGCTTGCAGTAGATGTTCACTGTTGCATCAAGGGCAACTCAAAAACAAAAAAAGTGTATAACCCAAGCTATAATGTTTAAGTCTCCAATGACAGATTGAAAGGTGAGAAAAACCCCAATAAATATAAAAACATAACCTTTATTTAGACTTATAAAATTAAAGCTACTATAGTCACTTTATGTGACAAAAATTAACTAAAATGGAAATAATTGAATGTTTCAAAAACTACCAACTAAATACACACCCATTATAGAGTAGGGTAAATACAGAAAAGAGTAGACAAAAGCGATAACTTATACAAATGTATCCAGCCATTAACTTAGATAAGCCTGCAGGACACCATTTACAAATCAGCTGATATAACAAAAGTGCCAGCAGAGTAAGCTAGACCTTGGCATACAGTGACCTGGTAAGCTCTCATAACAACATGGAATATCTATATAGAAGAAAGAATATATTTAAAGTGACCACTTGCATAAATCACATGGAGAGGCTAAATCAAAGCCTCTATCTACCCTGTGAAGGTATAAAGGATCCCGATTCAATTCTTCTACATACTGTATGTGATACCCCCCAGCTACAATAACAAATGGGGAACTAAACAAGCTGAAGTAGTGATCTGGATGAATCTAAATAGTGGCGACCACACAAAATCAGAATTTATCACGTTCAAATACACCGCTATAATGTTGGCAGCAGCCATTGGATCCCCAAGAATAGCAAAGCTGGATCACTGGCCAGAAGCTAAATATATATTAAATCCTATGCCATAAGGTTTTTGAAATAAATTATATATTTTGTGCTTTAAGAACGCTTATATTTTAAGCTGAACCTGGCGCGACAGGATCAACTTAACTTAAGATCCAAGACGCATCTACCAAGTTTATAACACACTGCTTCATTTAATTTAATTTCTGCTCCCTCTCCCACCAGCCTCACAGCTTTTTAATCCTACTTTGCTAAAATTCTTGCCAAACAGAAGCAAGAACTATCAGAACCCAAACTTCGCCATCCTCAATCTAAATGGCCGGTCTTTACTTCTGTCCTGATCAACTAACATTGAGGAGATTTTCACTCATCTTCCTTCCTACCAAATTATTTCCTTAATCACACACACACACCGCAGTTCTTCGCTCCTGTACCAGCTTTCACAAAAACATTAATCTCACTCTCCCCTCCGACACCTTTTTTGCACTCAATTTAAAACATGCCACAGTCCCTCCCATTTTTTTCTTAAAGCAACATTTAAAAATCCTAAAGCACTGTAGCTTGCTGAAGTGCATCATGTGTGGAGTGTGCCTCTTTTTTCCCATTTTAAAAAGTGCAGAATGCATGTTTAAACTGGGGGTATATCAACTACAATGTTTAAAGGAACACTCCAATTGATTTTTTTCTATTTTTTTTTAAACAGCCTACACGCTAATGTATAACTCACCATTAAACTACCATCCCATCTCACTACTAAATTTTGCCTCTAAGCTCCTTTAATGGCTAGTGCATACAAGACTGACCAAGTCCGTGTATTCGAACTCCTAACGACCCTCCCTTTTGGTTTTTCATCCTCATCAATCCAATAAAACTTCTTAAAGAAGGTGACAGGTGATTGGATTGCCTTACAATTTAGAGGTCACTGTTCTTGCTGCTTTCAACACCTACCTCTGTAATCATGGTGCATGTGACTTTTTCATGGCTTTCTTCTTATTTTCCCACCAGTTTTTGTGATGCCTTCTTCGGGATAGCCATTTCTTTACATATTCTGTTCTCACACTACAGCGTCTCATTAGATGACTTGATTAATTTCTTTTTGGGTTTTATAATACTTTTACGCCGCCAACAACAACCAAATCAAAGCACTAATTATCCTATCACCACTTTCTTTCATCTGACTGGATCGCTCACCTTATAACATGCAATCTCTCAACAACAGAACATATTGTATTCCCTCTTTTAAGTGGTCATCCTCAATCAATATAATTTCAGGTCAGTGTTGGTACAACCAAGTATAAGGCGTGCAAACTCCGTGTCCTCTGATTTTAACTTCTCATACACACGCCCCACATCCAGTCAATCTTCAAACCTTGACACTTCCATCTTTAACACATAGCTTGCATCTACTCCTTTGTAACACATGATACAACTAAAATGCTTGTATAATGTTTACGTCCTATCATGACTACTACAAAGTGCTCCTACAATTCAGGCAGAATGCCACTGCCAGACTCATCTCCCTTTTTCTTTATCATCTCCATATGTTCTCTAAATGTTTATGGATTCAATATGAAATCATTTTGTCTTTATACATTATATACTTTTTGCAAACTATGCTGTTACCATTTGTGTCAATTCACTCCATTCTCTTTAGATTGCAAGCTTATTTTACTAGGGTTCTTGTTACCTCTTGTTTCCGTAAGTCAAACTCATGTTGAATTGAATTGTATGACTCCCGAACCCATTAGAAAGCTCTGCAATAAATGCTTGCTCTCTCTTTATAAATAAGAGATATCTATATAAAAATAGAGGATTTCTCTCATGCCATGAGTTAGCACTGACCTCTCGTTCCCAGCTCTCCTCTCGAAGCTTCTTCCACTGCTCTCTCTTGGAAAAGTAGTCCGGGTACATGGCCTTCTCAGATGGATGCCAGTGATCCAAACACCACTCCGGAACCTATAGTGAAGCATAAAATAAGATATTATGTTTGCACCATTATTTATGACAGAAGCACAGAAGGCAGAAGGCCGCAGCCAAGTTGTTCTCAATTTATGATTGTTGTTTAAGTTAGGCAAGTTTACAGATTTTTTCAATCTCTATATAATTCTCATTGGCGTTAAATAAATATATAATGTTTACTTATTCTAAAAACTAAAAAAAAATAAAAAATAAAGCCCAACCTAATCTATGAATGCAACATTTGCATGTTCCCAAACTTGAAAAAAAAAAAAATAAAAAAAAAAAAAATAAAATAAATATATATATATATATATATATATATATATATATATATATATATATATATATATATATTTTATAATTTGTACCTTTATTGGAGAAAACCACTAAAAGAAAACATGTTTCTTAGTTAATTAGGATACTAGTCGGGTTTTTCTATAAAACTGGCAGCAATTCCTTAATCTGCCCCTCTTGATTTTATGATTTTTTTAAAATTTGTTAGGACTTTATTGTAAACTCCTAGTAACCTACTTTTCTTACGTGGTTCTTAATGTACCCTGTGGTTTTAATCCTACTTCCCTTAAAATGTAAAGCGGTTAATGCAATGTGGTCTCTTGAAATGCAGTGTGATCGGCATTGCAGCCTTGATGACTATAGTTCTCAGTGTTTGGATCATCTTACTTGTGTGTAAGCAGTTAAGGTAAGGTTATTTTTATATAAATATGCAAATTGCCCTTGGTGTGTGATACAACACAAGTGTGAATTGACAAAAAATTCTAAATAATTTATTCATTTTTTTGCAATATGAAATGTAAATATTAGAATGAGCTATGTTTTCAGTTTTGATATTTTGTAATTTCCAACAATTCACCTTTTAGTGTATAGCCCTGTACATATATTTAGCAGAGGATATAGTTAGGCAATTCTTTACCTTGTAGCAGTCATATCTCTCATAAGATGTTCCCCCAGGGGAGTCTGGGAAAATGTAGGGCTGAGTATGCTGCATAGCCCAGAACTCTTCCTCACCAGCCTTCAACAGCATAGTTGCCTTGACCATATCCTTTTCATCTTTTTGATCATCAAAACGGGCTCTCAGAAGGCAAGCAAAGAATCGGTATCGGTCCCTGGACAGACATGAAGAAAGATTTAAGCCAGCATACAAATGCAATCACTAGTTGTTTACCTAGGAGACATTGATTAACAACATTTCATGTGCACTGAAATGGTGGGATTTTATATATATTTTTCAGACACATTATTGTAAAATCTCAAATGCAAAATGCTCATTTCACATCAATACCTTATGTAAAACAAGCACTGCTTCCAATATGAGAGAATTATGAAGGTGTGATCCCAAATGCAACTAGGATGACACATTTGGCACCCTCAGAACAGAGTTTGTAGCAGTATACAGTCCACTCTATTTAAAGTCAATTAGAATGGCATGAAGTCCTTTATTTCTGTCTGGCCATTAAATTAGGGCCCCTGCAAAAGATGTTTAAGTGCAGGGGAAAATTATAGAATATAAGTTTGTGGTACCCACATCAGTCAATCCTTGCAAGTGCGTGGTCTTGGCGTCATACTTGAGTCTGGCCTCACCTTTGAGCCAGACATCCAGCATGTTGCCAAATCCTGTAGATTCCATCTTAAAAACCTAGCCCGCACCCACCCCTTTCTTACACAAGATGCTACCAAGGAGCTTGTCCATGCTCTAGTAATTTCCCGCATGGATTATTGTAACCCTCTCCTGATTGGTCTTCCCAAAGCCGTACTGCATCGTTACAGTCCGTAATGAACGTTGCTGCCAGACTGATTTTCCTCTCTAGTCGGTTCTCTCACACCTCACCCCTCTGCCATTCCTTACATTGGCTTCCTGTATGCTATAGGAGTCAATTCAAGGTACTAATTCACACCTATAAAGCACTGAACAACTCTAGCCCTTCTTATATCTCCTCACAGATCCATAGATATGTCCCTTCTCTGTCTCTCCGCTCTGCCTGTGACCACCTCCTGTCCGTTGTCCGCACCCGTGCTGCCAACTAAAGCTTGTAGGAGTTCTCACAGGCGGCTCCCTTCCTATGGCATAGCCTGCCTACCGCCATCAGACTCTCCCCTAGTCTTTCATCTTTTAAGAAGTGCCTTTAAACCCATCTCTTTAGGAAAGCTTATGGCCTCCCAGACTAACCTCTACCTCACATACCTGTCTATTTCTCTCTCCTAAAGGGCAGCCCACCTTATTTGCAAATTCCTGTGTTTTACATCCGACCTCCTATAGAATGTAAGCTTGTTTAAGCAGGGTCCTCTGCAACCTATCGTTCCCGTAAGTTTTTTGTAATTGTCCTGTTTATAGTTAAATCCCTCTCTCATAATATCGTAAAGCGCTACGGAATCTGTTGGCGCTATATAAATGGCAATAATAATAATAACAATAACAACCACCATGGGATTGCTATTTTAAGCAAATGTACTTGTATCAAAATAATGAAACCAAAAATAAATTTGAATCAGTAAAATGTATTCAATAAAAGAGTTGTGAGAAGCTGATAAGTGAATCACAAATTTAAGAATAGTTCAAATAAAAATAAAAAATGCTCCAACTAAAAATCACAAAATATGAAAATGTTAAAAGTGTATCCAAAAATATCAAGTCATTTGAAAATGTTACCCAACAATATTAAAATGGAGTCCTTGTTATAACACATAGGAGGCTGAACAGTAACACTGTCTCTACATACATCTTTCCTCGAAATTAAACCTTGAATCAAAAATACACGTATTCCCAGGTAGATCACACTATCAAAGTTATTTACTAAAGTGAGAATTAAAAGAGGATTTAAAATGTAAGGAAAAAGTAGCTGAACTGGAAATATAACTGACTTTTTCCAATTTAGCTATTTTTACTTGAATTTTACTTTGAATTCTTTTGGTGTTCAGCTTTCTTGATGGAATAACATATGTTCATCTTATCTGGTCTTGGATGTTTCCAGGTATATTTAGAAACCCTGATAATACTTGGTGCTTTCTTGTATCCTAACAATTTAGTATAATTTCCCAATGAGTGGAGTTTGTATTTAAAAAGGGATACTATAGGCATCAAAAAAACGTGGCTTAATGAAGCAGTCTGTGTGTATAGATCCTGCCTCTGCAGTCTCACCGCTCAACTATCTGCCATTAAATCACTTTTGTTTCTGTTTATGCCGCCCTAGCCAACCCTTCCCTTGCTGTGATGTACACAGCCTGCATGAAAAAAAAAAACCCCCAAAAAAATGGTGTTGATTTCCAATCAGATGTTAACTTGCTTTAGATGTTTTTATCTTCTTCTCTGTTAATTCATGTTTAAAAAAAATCACACACAGAAAGCACCTGCAGGGTCTAGAGGGCTATTAACAGCATTTGCAATAAAGGAAGTTTAAACATTAGATGTCTCTTTACAGGAAGTGTTTAGCAGGGAGGTGTGACTAGGGCTGCATTAACAAAGTGATGTAACTCCTGAATGTAGTCCATTATTGTGTTATGATACATGGTGCTGGTATGAGCTGTGTATTGTGTATAATATGATAATAGATTGTATTGCCCTCTGTGTTAGCTCTGCTGTCATTGGATGCCCTTTACCCGGGTACAGCACACTCACTGGGCCCCCAGGACTGAGGGGCGGTTGCTGTGGCCCCTGGGGGCCGGTGTGGGGGGGCCAGGGGATTACCTGAAGATGCACCATGACTCCAGGTGCCGCAGGGACTTCTTGTACAGGCGGAGCACCCTCTGCTGATGGCTCAGATAGGCCGACGCCATCTTGCCACCTCTGGCCGCAGCACGTCGCGGGAGCGCGCACGCAAAGGCACCCGGGCAGCCGTGACGTCACCGAGCGCCGCTGGCGACGCACAGGGCGCTTAGTCTGGGGGTGAACCAAGATGGCGACTCAAACACGCCCACCTCCCCTCCTTAGTGGGCGGGCTACATTGGCCGCTTGCTCGGCGGCCTGCTGAGGGTGTACCAAAATGGCGGGTCAATCCGTTTTTCCCTGTGACGGTGTCAATGCCACCCTCTCGGTTGGTGGGTGTACCAAGATGGCGGCGTCACCCCATTGAAGCCCAGCGCGAGGAATTGTGGGTTGTGGAAGGTGTGCAGCAAGATTGGCTGAGCCTGCCAACATGTCCCTCTACAGGTTCATAGGTGAGAGGAGCAGGGGTGCTGCAGCCATGAATATAACATTAATAACATTATTATTATTTTTAAAGGACCACTATAGGCACCCAGACCACTTCAGCTTAATGAAGTGGTCTGGGTGCTGTGTCCAGCTAGGGTTAGCCCTTTTTTAAAAAATTTTTTTTTATAAACATAGCAGTTTCAGAGAAACTGCTATGTTTACCTATGGGTTAATCCAGCCTCTAAAGCCTCTAGTGGCTGTCTCGTTGACTTTCACAGTGAGAAGAATGCTTTCCTATGGACTGGCTGAATGCACGCGCGGCTCCTTCCGCGCATGCGCATTCAGCCGAAGAGGAGGAGAAGAGAGAGGAGGAGGAGAGCTTTAACCCCTTCCACCCCCTAGAGCCGGGCGGGAGGGGGTCCCTAAAGGGGGGTCACACCCTCATGGCACTATAGTGCCAGGAAAACAAGTATGTTTTCCTGGCACTATAAGGGTCCTTTAACATTAATTATTATTATTAACATTATTAACATTAATTATTATTAGCATTATTATTATAAGCAGCAGCTGTGCCTTGCAACATGTATAGAGTCATATTCCTTGTCACATGTATAGAATGAATGGGAAAGTGTCACCACATGTTACTGGTACAAGAGCTCTCAGAAATCTTTCCCCAAAGTGTGGGCACTAGCTGTCATTCTGGTGTTAAAGTGCAGAAAATTCTGTCTATACGTTGTGTAACGGAATGCCTGGCACCCCGACTGGGTTCCTTCCGCTGACGGATGCTCCTAGTGCTCCCCGAGGGCTTCAAGCACTCTGCCAGACACCATAACCACTGCAGACCACACGAACCGCCACAGTTTGGTTGGGGTCTCGCCGCCCTCCACCCACTCTGGACCCAAGACCGGGCTTTAGCTTCCAGTGGGTGAACCTCAACCTCTCCTAAATCCAGAGAGCAGGAACAAGAACAAGCTCTTACAAGAGCTTAAACTCAGGGGAGTATTGTGATATAGCAATCCCCACAGTGTAGGCAATTCTCCAATCCCCCAAACATGAGCCAAGACTTCATGAAGGGGTAAGCAGGTCTGTTTAATGCACACAAAAGGACTTTCTTTTATACAAGTTTTCAGGCCAGAGGCACACGCTGGACCTGGTGGTAAACTGTGACAAAAGGGACACAAACCAAGGGGAACACTAATTAACAAAATAACACTCCCACCTTCACAGTAAAATCCCTCCCCTCTATCCTGGAGATAATTGGCTTAAGGAACTGCAGTAAACTCAATTATCTCCAGGTACAGAAAATATCTCCATTTTACACTGACAGTAAAATACATAATTCCAGAACCCTCACATTTAACCTATCCCAGATAGCTCTGATCTGAGCGCCCAATATAGGTGAAAAGCGCTCAGATCCCACGAACAGAGTAAATTTTCCAAAAGTCTGTGGCAAAGGGTAGTTTGTCACACATTGTACTAGAAGATATGCTAGCAAATGTATAATCTGAGAGGAAAAAATAACTAGTTTAAAATTAGTCTTTCTCGACACGTGTCAGTCAGTTCTCTGGCATTATGCAAAAGAATTGACTGACGGAGAGCGCAAAGGGGGACCGCTCACAGGTAGTCCTTCTGCTCCCCTAGCAGGGCAAATCGAAGAAGAGAACAGCCGGCATGGGCAGAGTGGTGGTGGTTACAGAAAACTAATACCCACAAAAGTGAGGAAATGGCGGCTCTGGATCGGAGGTGAATTACTATCTCGAAACCTTACATTGAATACATCATACATGTCTGTGTTATGATTTATTCAATATATTCGGAGGTGACCTCTTTAAAGGGAACCTGTCTTGATTTTAAATGAGGGACTATTTTGTTAAAGCATTCCCATGGATTTAGTAAATAGTTCCCTTGATGTAGGTATCGTACACATGATATTGAGGTGACAAATCCAGTAGCAGTCAAGTTTGCAAAATAAAATCGCATGCTTTAATGCGGGTGAACCTGTAGAAGTCTGCTATATTTGTCTACTGTCACCGCAAGCATCCAGCAGGCAGAGTTAATATGACACAAAAAATTATTTAAAAAAACTAGGCGTTTAATCAATAATGTAAATGTAGTAATGAAATAATGTACATTTTAATAACTTTGTTAATATGTTTCCATAATTGGGGTATATTTCACCCCTCAGTGGAGTTAACCCCATTTATGAAATGGAGTTTGCCAACATAATTATGCTAATTGCAGATTTTTGCGGCTATAGCTTGCCATTCAATAGAAATGGCTACATTCTGCCTGCATTTCTTAGTCAATCAAATGTGCAGGCAGATAGTGGCCAATTATTTTCAGTCTGAGCATTCAGTTGTGTATTTCCATCATTTAGCTCTGGATTTTAGTTTTGTAGGTAAACTCCAGACTACATTCATGTTAAAGGGACACTATGGGCACCCAGACCACTACAGCTCATTGAAGTGATCTTGGTGCAGTGTCCCAGGTTCCATAACCCTGCACTGGTAATTATTGCAGTTTTTAATAAACTGCAATAATTACATTTGAGGGTTAACTCCACCTCTAGTGGCTGTCTACCAGACAACTAGTAGACCACTAGAAGGACTTCCGGGTGGTTCGCCTAACTGACACTGAACGTCCTCAAGCTATGCATGGTATATGTAGGTGATGGAAGTGCACTCAATCCTTCGTCTCGAATTCAGGGTGCTCTAGTGGATAAGTCCAAGTACCAAAGAAGGACCAATTGAAGCATTTAAATATAAAGAATGATCCAGGCACTCCAGCATATTCCAAAATGTAGGCAATCTTTATTGGAACAAGGAACCAAAAGGCAACGTTTCGACCCCTTAGGGCAGGGGTTCTCAACCCAGTCCTCAGGACCCCCTACCAGTCCAGGATTTGGGGATTACCTGGGTGTGTCTAAGGTGTTTAGAAAAAAGGGAAAAAAACACCTTAGACTCTAAGGTGTTTTTTTTTCCTTTTTCTAAACACCTTAGACACACCCAGGTAATCCCTAAACCCTGGACTGGTAGGGGGTCCTTGAGGACAAGGTTGAGAACCCCTGCTTTAGGGCCTTTGTCAAGCTTTTGGTTCCTTGTTCCAATAAAGATTGCCTACATTTTGGAATATGCTGAGTGCCTGGATTATTCTTTATACTCAAGCTATGCATGGTGACATCCAGCGTCACACAAAATCCCATAGGAAAGCTTTATGCAATGCTTTCCAAGGTGCGAAGTCCTAATGCGACTGCGGCAATTGCCGCGCATGTGCATTAGGTCCCCCACGCTGGATGACATAGGTGGGAGAGGAACTAGGCGGAGACTGAACCAGTGCCCATGGACTTTGTTTTCCTGGCACTATAGTTTTCCTTTAATTTGGAGTCTGTATTACCAGATTTGGCCATTGAAAAACACTCTGATCAATGCCTGGATTTTGTGGCATTTTGATGAATCTTTATTAGTTAAAAGGATAATAGTTTTGTTCCATAAACCCACCTTTTCTGTTCCTACTTTTCATCCAACAATATTCACATTTTTGCTTCGATATTGTGTCTGTACATAATGTTATTACTTACAGTAGTATTATCTTGAAAGGCTGCAAAGTAACTGCTTCTGGGACTGTAGTTAGCCTGCCATTAGCTTTTTATGATGGATTACATTGGATTCTGGTCAACTGTGGCTAAATCAGTGGTTTGGAATCTTAAATCTCTCTGTTTCTTTGCTTTCAGACATTGGCATAAACCTAACAGATCCCATGTTTAGAGGAATATATAGAGGTACAAAGAAACATCAAGGTAATGTTGGTTAAAGGTCACCGGATACATGTGCCATGCTCTCTTTTAATTATATAGAAAATGCAAATAAATTAGGTGACTTTCAATGTTCGTCTACCTTACTATTGGCATATAGAAGCATTAGCACTCCTACATTGGTGTTTTTTGCAGAGTTTTTGGATGCAGCTAAGGAGCATCTCTCCTTGGTACCATGCCTCATTAAAGGGACATTGTAAGCCTCAAAACCACTTTATTTTAAGATATGGTTTCGGACAATTTTTGCATTTATTGAAAACCTTTTCTGTAGTGAAGACTTTCAAAAAGCAGAAAGTCTTCCCATTCGTTGTGTCATCATGATCAGTGCTCTGTGCTGAACGCATATGATTGGCAGGAGGTGGTAACTGTGTTGCATGTGCCCTATGTCTTCATGACAAAAGTCATCATTACCGGTGACATTTTCGTCTGCTCCATGGAGACTGAACCGGTGCCGAAATAATGGTGAATTTTATAGTGATTTTTAACATTTATGTATTTTAAATAGAACTCCTCCAATCACACAATGCAATGGTTTTATTGTCTGTGTGTGGGTTACATTATTCCTAGGTATATGTTTGATTTAGTTTAGTTTGTGACCCTCCCCATTGTATAGAGATGGATACAGTCTTCATTACAGGATATTTTATTTTTTATTGTACACACAGTAACTCCGTATTGATCCCATTCTTTTCGAATCGAAGGCCTTCTTTCTTTTCCGTTCTACATCTATTTCATGTAAACAGTGAGCACACCATATATCTCATACATTTTATAAAACATTGCGTTAATTCTGTCTGTAAGGAACCCCACCTGTGTCACATGGTGCTTTAATTACCTAGTTCTCGTTTTTGTTTTTTTTAAACAATAGAAAAATGACTTGAAAATGCCACTTGAATAGTTTGATTACAATTCTTGTCATCCTGTAATGCTGTGTATTTGTTTTTACAGATGACTTTGCAGATATATTAGAACGTGCTGTCAAGACTGGTGTGCAGAAGGTTAGATTCAGTTTATGATTCCTTTCCTATCCATCTTACTGGATAAGCCACAGTAATACGGAACTATGAGAACAGTCTCATTTTTCCTTTATGGTTTCACATAGGTAAACTCCAATTTTTGGGCATTGTCACACCTGTATTGAGACAGTAAAGTATATGCTGCTTAGTGGCCTTTTGAGAAGTGACAGAAGTACTGATGTTGCAGATATATGCGAGGGTAGTAAACCGGCCACATTTGCTTTTTTAGAATCAAAGTTTAATCTTCCATCTAGAGATTTGTTTCAATATCTCAGGATTAAGAATTTTTTACTTTCTAAGTCGATAATTAAAGTTCATCATATTACCCCCCTATTGGCAATTAGCCACAAGAGGGGTGGAATCTCTAGATTTAATAAATTATTTGACTCTGTAGAACAAGTTCCCTATGTGTCATTGTTTAATAAGTGGGAGATGGATGTCGGAAGATCCTTCTCACTAACACAGTGGACTAAAGCCACTTCGTTGGTAAATAAGTATATTCATAATGTATCCTTGGTTGAAACCCATTTTAAGCTATTGTATAGATGATACCTCGTTCCCGTTAGACTCCACAGGTTGGCACCAATTCATCAAAGTAATGTTGGAGATGTGGGAAGGAAGAAGGTACTATGTACCACATTTGGTGGGATTGTCCGGAGCTTAAAGGACCACTATAGGCACCCAGACCACTTCAGCTTAATGAAGTGGTCTGGGTGCCAGGTCCAGCTAGGGTTAACCCTTTTTTTCTAAGCATAGCAGTTTCAGAGAAACTGCTATGTTTATGTTAGGGTTAATCCAGCCTCTAGTGGCTGTCTCTTGACAGCCGCTAGAGGCGCTTGCGTGCTTCTCACTGTGACAATCACAGTGAGAAGACGCCAGCGTCCATAGGAAAGCATTGTAAATGCTTTCCTATGAGACTGGCTGAATGCGCGCGCAGCTCCTGCCACGCATGCGCATTTAGCCGAAGAGAAGGAGAGGAGGCGGAGAGGAGTACGTACCTGGGTTGGGAAAAAAAGGTCCAAACGTATCATTTCTGGGTGGGCTAATACACACCTCCTCCTGGGCTATTACATGACTTAACGTCATGTAATTAGTAAAATCTGGTAATTTTAAAATACAGGACACGGAGGCTCATATTAGGTTCAAAGCTGTGAAATAACCATAGATTAAACATGTTCTGTAGGTCAAAAATAATGTTCTCTAAACGTAGATTCACTGGACCAATCTGCTGTTCTAAGAAGGTCCTCTAGTCTACAGCCCAAGTTGAAAACTTTTGAATCCATAGCTCCTCTAGTAGAGTGAGCACCATACTTTGATGTATCTATGTTGGCCAAGGTCATGATCCATTTCACCCATCAGGCTAGCGTCACTGTAGATACCGGGTGATGAGGCATTTTGATGGCCAAGAACAACTCCTGATTTATTGGACTCCTGAATCCCAGGGTTCGTTTTTCGTATTCTCGTAGGCACGCCACAGGGCAGAGATTAACGTTATGTGGAAATGTCTGATAAGACACCGAGGTAGTCGATTTCGTCCGCCTGGCAATGTTGAATGACACTCCCGTGGGGGTAAACGATCGTGCATCTATGTCCAATGTCAGAACATCTGAAACCCTTTTACAAGATATCAGGCAAAGGAGCATGACCAGTTTTGCTGATAGCTGTTTAAGCGTGAGTTCCTCGTTTCGTGCCCAAGATTCCAGTAAACGGAGGACCAGATTCACATCCCACAACGACGAATATCGAGGTTGGGGTGGTCGAGCAAATTTTATGCCTCATAGGAGCCGGCACACCAGCAGTTGTTGACCGACCGGAGTCCCTTCTAGGCCCTGATGGCCAGAGGAAATTGCCAATCTATAGAAGTTAATGGTACGGTAAGCCAACCCATGGCTATATAAATTGGTAAGGAAACGCAACAGATAATTTACAGGAGCACGTACGGGATCCACCTGTTGTTCCATGCACCAACTACTCCATCCGTTCCAGGCATATTGGTAGGATCGTCTCATTCCAGGTGCCCGTGCTCCTGCCAGTAGGTCGAGAGTGTCTGGTATAAACCAGGTTCCCCAGAAAGGAGCCATGCCAAGAGTCTGAGGTTCCCTTGGATCAGAAGGGGGTGTGAGTTGCCCTCTGGGTCCCGTAAAAGGTGTGAGACATCTGAAAGTAATCTTGTAAGGTCGATGGACAGCTCCATGAGGGAAGGGAACCAAGGTTTAGCCATCCAGAATGGAGTTATGAGGACCAACGATGTCTGAGCTCGTCTGAGATGTACTAGCGTCCATGCCATGAGGGCGAAAGGAGGAAAAGCGTACAATCGTCCCCTCGGCCAGTGTTGGAGGAACGCATCCGCTGCTAGGGCGTCTGGATCTGGTCTCCAGCTGAAGAACGCTGGTAACTGGGAGTTCAAGCGAGATGCAAAAAGGTCGATGTACATCAGACCCCAGAGCATTTGAAGTTGTAGGAATATTTCGCGGTCCAGTCGCCAATCGCTGGCGTCCCGCAGATGTCTGGAGTTACAGTCTGCTACTATGTTGGATAGGCCGGGAATATATTCCACCTGGACCGAAATATTGCGATCCAGGCAATATTGCCAAAACTCCTTGGCCAGGTCCGTCAGAATCCGTGATCTCGTACCACCGAGGTGGTTGATGTGGCGGACCACTGATATAGTGTCCATTCGTAGTACAATCGAGCAGTTGGTTGTGGCTCCAAGGAGGCTCTTCAGGGCAAAGGAACCTGCCATAAGTTCGAGGCCGTTGATGTGTAGTTCTTTTTCTGAATATGACCATATTCCTCTGGTGGAGATAGGCCCGCATCGAGCTCCCCAGCCATGCGTACTCGCATCGGACTCTATGATGAAGTCCGGGGCAGCTCGGAAGATCGCTCTGCCGTTCCATGTGTTGAAGCCACCAGGTGAGTTCCTGTTTGGCTTCGTGGTCTAGTGGAACAGAGTTGGAGTATGAGTGCCCCAAGCGTAAGTGCGTGGCCTTTAACTGTCGAAGGGCCCTGTAGTGGAGGGGGCCCCGGAAAATAGCTTGGATGGAGCCTGCGAAGAGGCCGATTATCCTAGCCAGTTGTCGTAAGGTTAATATTGGGCGTGCCAATGTCCGGCGGATTTCTTTCTTGATGCTCTTGACCTTCGTGGTCGGTAGACTGGTCGTTCCTTTTGTCGCGTCTATGTTGAATCCCAGAAACTCCATGGTTTGGGATGGGGTTAGTGTTGACTTTTTCCAATTGATTAAAAATCAATTTTGTAGGAGGGACAGTGCCCAGGAGAGGTGTTGTCGGAGCAGTTGGATGTTGTGTGCCATGATCAGCATATTGTCTAGATATATGATCATCCGTAAACCTCTGCTGCGTAGGAGAGCCACCACTGGCTTCAGCAGTTTGGTGAAGCACCACGGGGCCGATGAGAGTCCAAAGGGGAGGCACTGAAATCTCCACATCGTCCCTTCCCATTGGAATTGGAGAAGGTGTTGACAGTCTTTGGCGATGGGATTGTGAGGTAGGCGTCTTGTAGGTCTAATTTGACCATCCAGTCCTCTAATCTGAGGAGGTCCCTCGGGCAATGGATTCCCTCCATTTTGAATTGATGGTATCGTACGAATGCGTTTAGGGGGCGCAGGTTGATGACTGGTCGTACCCCTCCCCGCCTTTCTTGGGCACTAGAAAGAGGTTGCTTTCAAAGCTGTGGGAATATGGCGGGACCTGATAGATCGTGCCTTTTTCTTGCAGTGCGAGAATTTCCTCGCTTACCAGGGTCCTGTCATGTGTGGAGAAAATTATTCGGTGTGGTCTGGAGGATTGGACAGGGTGTTGTATAAATTCGATTTGGTACCCTTGGATAGTGTGTAGGACCCAAACATCTGTCGTTAATGTGCACTAAGCCTCTACATAGTGAGCCAGCCTGCCCTCCACTATAGACATACACGGGGAAGGGTATGGTAGGACTCAGCCATACGAGGCGCTCCTTGTCCCTCGCGACTGCCACGGTCTGCCCCTGACCGGGAAGAAGAGCGACGGGGACCTGTTCTCAGGAGGCTAAAATCTAGGCATTGCAGGGCCTCGATATCCCCGGTAGGTACCACAGGAAGAGCGGCTGGACAGACGGCCCAGTTGTCTGCCGGCCCCCCAAATTTTTTTGGGAGAGAACACTCTCTTTAAGTTTGTTTGTGCCTTGTCTAATGCCGTAAAGGTATTGACGTAATTACCCAATTCCTTTACGAAGTTGTCTCCGAAGAGGAAACCTTTTGCCTGAGGCCCAGGCTTATGGCCATATTAACCAGTTTCGGTTCTATTTTCATGAGGATAGCTTTCTCCGCTCAGTAGCCAAAGCTGCATTTGCATTGCCGATAAGGCATATAGACTGTTGGACCCAACCCCTAAGGGCCAGCAGGTCAATTCGGATCTCATCGGTTAAAGCTGCTTCAATCATTTCAAAGATTTTTGCACTGGGGCCTAAACGTGTCCAGCAGCTTATCCTGGCTATGGCGTAAGGAGTAATCAAGCCCCTTTTTTGCCTTCCTGCCAGATTTTCCCACAAAATTGGGCCACTTTGGGGTCTATGTCCAGCAAGCCACAAGCCACGTCGGGTACCGTAGGGCGTGGGCATTCCACCCTAAATTTGTTCCTCGTGGCCTTATCTAGGGGTTTCCTGATCATGGCCGCTATATAAAGTGCCACGTGTTCGGTCGGGAACCATTCTGCCGACCTCGGGTTTTGCAACGCATCGGTGTCAAATAGGGGCTCCTCTTGTGGATCTAGGATAGTGGACGTATACGTATTATCAATAGTGGTTATGGTTGCTTTGCGTGTTGGGCTATAGCCCGGGGAGGAAACCTCTGATTCATTGGAGTCGATCTCGTTGAACTCATTCAAGACCTCCTCAGAATCCAAACCAGTGTCGGAAGAGTCTGCTAGGGCTTTTGCCCTTTTCCATGTCCGCGCCGTGTGGTGGGTCTTTGCAGTGGCTTTACGGCCGCCCTGTGATACTGGCTATTTACAGGGGCCTTAGAGCGGGACACATCAGGATTATGGCTAGACGCCATGATGGCATTAGTAATGGAGTGGGATATAGTATCCGACATTGTCCCCATTGCGGAGTAGATAGCCTGGGTGACTGATTTGGTCATAGTAACGTCTAGGAGCGAAGGGAACTCCTCTGAGTTCAATTGCTCCAATGGGGTTACCTCCTCCCTTTGGCTGGAATGGGATCCAGGTGGTACTTAGCTGAGGCAGCAGCAAAGAAAGAGGAAGAGAAGGGGGTCACATGGGACTATATGATATGTGGACTGTTCCCATTGGCTAAGATATAGTGATGTAATGGTTAACCCTATGAGGGTATTTGTTCATTTTTTTTTCATTATGAATACCTTAGCTTTCTTTGCTGCTGAGGAATAAAAGAAAGAGATAAGCCTAATATGAGCCTCCGTGCCCTGTAATAAAATTACATTGCAGGATTAAGACTGCATCCTAGTGGCTGTCAATCAGGCAGCCACTAGAGGCACTTCCTGGTGGCTTACTGACTTTTATGTTGCCTGACGCTGGATGTCCTCACGCTCTGCATGAGGACATCCAGTGGCTGTCAAATCCCCATAGGAAAACATTGCAGCCAGGAGCGCGTGAGGAGGCAGAGGCAGCTATAGTGTAAGGAATACAGATTTGTATTCCACTATAGAATCCCCTTTGGCTACTCTGGCCTTAATTTTGAATTTCTCTTTAGTAAATAACCTTGCTTTAATTGTAAGACTTGGGAAAATGAATTCTCTTAATATCTTCTGTTGGTGTAGCAGCTAATTAAGAGGAAAAAAATAAACTTTGAGTGTGTATATAGCAGACATTAAAATACCATTTTTACTTTTGTGTATGGCCCAATGGACCCGAGTGAACACTGTTCAATCACCATCCTTATTTCTGGCTGAGAATAATGCCAGTTGCAGTCCTAAGATGGCTGATAGACCACAACTTCCTTATTGAGGAATGTATTTATTTATTTATATGATATTGCGGTAGGGGAAAACGGGGGGGCAGTTTAGAGTACCCTTTTGGCAATTTTATCAGAATCTCCGAATAACTCCTAGAGCTTAGATACAATAACTGTACTGTTTATCCTCCTGTTGTAAAGCCATGTGTTTAGATTGGGCCAACACTTGGCAATTTGTACTCCATGTCCCTATTTTTTCTATTTTAAAATTACTGGCCCCTGTGTTTCCCAGCACTTAATAAGAACCTGCGGAGTCTTGGTGCTCATCATGAGTGGTAATTTACAAAAGTTGTAAAAGTACAGAATTCTGCAGGAACATACCTTTGGTTTTCCATTGTGACTTCTCCACGTGGGGACCCATATTTTCTTTTTTTTTTTATACATAACCCAATGTTTCCGTGTTATTGTATTTAACTGAGGTGAGTGCAGCACAGGTAAACACACCTACCTTAGAAGCAGTTATGAGTTCAGTTATGGGATCACCGTTTCATGGTACTTGGGTGAGATTATATGTACTTGGCTATTCTTTGTATAGTGCTACATTTGTGCACGCACCCTCGCAGTAATCGTGCAAAAGAAAATGTAAGCTTTATTCACATTTTAATATATGTGCAGTTTGTGTATGTATAGTTTTAACATTATGTGTATCTAACAATTTTGTCCACTTTTTTTAGTTCATCATCACGGGAGGAAATCTGCAAGAGAGCAAGGAAGCAATTCAGCTAGCACAGTCTAATGGTATTTACTTTGTTCTCCACAGTTTGTAGTCCTTAATTGCAAATCACAAACATAGTCCATAGTGCTGTACAAAAGGAGCGCTTGTGTAAAATTCTGCTAACACTCTTTTTAAAGGGATCTTAAATTGACATGTAATCTGTATACTATAAAATACTCTAGAGCAGGGATCTCAATCCCCCTCTTCCCCTCCCCATATCAATGTCCTACAACTCCCAGAATTCTTTGAATGTAATCAATAGCCAGACAATCGCAGGAGTTGTGGTAGAGCAACATCTCAGGGGGCAGAGTTTAAAGGGCCACTGTAGGCACCCAGACCACTCCAGCTCATTTAAGTGATCTGGATGCAATGTCACTTGACCCTCTGAGGGTTAACTTCTCCTCTAGTGGCTGTCTAGCAGATAGTTAAGTGACTGAGGGGGTTTTAACCCCTTTAGCATCGCGGGAGGGAGGCGTGAGGGCACTGCAGGAGCCTATAGTGCCAGGAAAACGGGTTTGTTTTCCTGGCACTATAGAATCCATTTAAATTGTCTGCTCTAAAGGGGTGACCAAAAGCTAGAACTATAGCACTCATCATGCTTTGGCAGTTCTAACCCCGTCAAAACACCATGGGGTTAGAGTTACAGAACATTGATGATGGATCTATGTATCTTTTTGCCAACACTGGCCTGGAATTCTGGTAAATGTGCTTCACTTAAATTTACAATGCTAAGGTGCACTGTGACTGATTTAAATCGTATGGGCTTGTATTTAGTCTGAAGAGATTTATAAACAGCTCTGTTTGATTGAAACAATGATCTGATATACTAGTGGAAAGTCCTCATTTTATATTCTGTGTTTACTGCCTCAGTAGGATGATTGCAGAAACTCAGCCTTATGAACCATTATCGGTTTGTATTGTGTGGTTTACTACAGATGTCTCTTTGTTAGATCGTTTTTACAGCACTGTTGGCTGCCACCCGACACGATGCGGCGAGTTTGAACAGGGAGATCCGGACAAGTATCTAACAGATCTGCAGAGTCTTTTGGAAAGTAACAAAGGCAAAGCTATAGCAGTTGGGGAATGCGGCCTGGGTAAGATAATGCTTCCACCTAGCGGTAACGTTTTACAAAACAAAAACTCTTTAAACTTGTCATTCATTTTCAAAGTAATTATAACATAAAGCATACCTGTCGCAGAAATATATGGTAACATCATAATTGCCAGAAAATTCGTAGATGATTTTTCTGTTATATTAATACTTTTATCTCTAAGCCAGCTGCAGTGAGATCATGTGCTAGGCATTTTGAAATGCTGCCTTGTGGGATTGCTTGAAAGCACAACATAGACTGGGATTCCAAACTTTAGTTTGGTAATACAATCCATACATTCACCGATTTCACTTGTGAAAGGTATAGAATAGATTGTATAACTTACCCGAAGCTGACCTGGTCATCCAGGCAGGAGTGTATCAGATAACTAACTAATCACTGTGATAACAATGCTAATATGCAAAATTCAATAAACACCTTTTTTTTTTTTCTTTGCTGCAGATTTTGACAGATTGGAATTTTGTCCGAAGGAAACTCAACTCAAGTAAGTGTCAGGACCTTGAATATAGAGAAAGAGATTGGAATTTAAGATCCCATGTGTGTTTTCAAGAAAATCATTTCTGGTCCAACAGGCTAATGTTATGATAAAATTCTCATACATTATATTCCCGATTTCACCCTGAGTGCAATGCGTTTATTGCAACTAACTAGTTTATTTACTAGATGGACTTGTGGAGCATTACATGTCCAACACATGCAAACTGTAAATATATATCCAATATAAGTCGTGTTTTCCACAGTTCTCATTTACAGGGGTATTTACCAATATGTGAATTAAAAATTTAAGGGCAAAATATCCGAGCAGTACCTGGCAAGTATTGCTTTGTTAGACAAACAAGCACACTATCTTTTATTTATGTGATTTCTGATTCAGCTTCCTTCTCCGGGGAGCTTTTCAAAGCTGAATGTTTGTAAAGTTCACAGTAGGATTTTGCAGCATTTATCAAGAAACTGAATTCTAGTAGAACATCTAGTGATGTCAGAAATGGAAAACCTCTATCTAGATGTTTTCATGGTTTACTGTATAAAAAATGTGGGGTTTAGAAACATACATCTTTGGACTCATAACATGTTAATAAGCAACTGTCTGGACTTTGTAGATTAAAATAAACATTAAGATGTTTTGGGTATCTAAAACGGTCCGTAAGAATAAAATAGAGTTTTGAGAGCTCTTTGGTAATAAAGAGAGTTAATCGTTTATTGATTGTTTAGTTGAAAGACAGTTGTGTCAGGATAATAATGCATAAATCTCAGATGTGACAGGTCCACTTTAAAGTAGGGGGTCTTTACTTTTATGTTTAGTAACAATGTAATTTATTATTAATAAACACTTTTTTTAAGTTTCTTGTTCCTGTTTCGGTACAGGTATTTTGAAAAACAGTTTGATCTAGCTGAACATACCAAGTTACCAATGTTCCTTCACTGCAGGAACTCACACAAGGAATTTTTAGGTAGGTTGGATGTAAAAATAAATAAATATCATTTTATAGGGCTCTATGAAAATAACACAAGAAACATAAAGTAAATTAGTGATGGTAACCTCGGGCAGCCTTGGAAAATGTGATGCTAAGCCAGCCTTAAAGCTAAAGAGTACCTGAATATTTAATGGGCAGTCCCAAACTAAACAAATAGATTACTGTTTAGTAGATATATACCCAATAAAAACCATGAACACATTTGTTTTTTTTCATTGGGGATATATCTAAAAACAGCTTTTGCAAGTCCTTCCCTTCTATCCCCGCCCAGACTTCCTGTAGCTGTCCAATCACAGACTTCCCAATGCAGCTCAATGAGAAGTCTTTGCACAGTAGCTGCTCTGGGCAATTGTCTTCCTCTTGAGTTTAGCTCCACTGAGCTAAACAAGCAGGATGTAACAGGACCAGGACGTAAAAGCCCATTTCTATTGAAATCTGCACTTTGTAAAAAGAAAAAAAAAAACAAGGTACACTCTTTACAAATAAAACATTTCAGCAAGCTAAAGTACTTTAGGTGTCTGGAGTGTCACTTTAAAGAAAATGTGGTTCACGGATACCAGGTTGGACCACAGTTTGCCATTACTGCATTGAGATTACATTAATCATTGAGAATATAATGTGAGTGGCATGTATATCAAACTACGCGGCAGTTTCGGTGTTTTTACCATTTTCAATTTATAATTTACTATAAATGAATACTTCTGTATTAAATCAGTCTATATTTATTATTTATGACACCTTCTTTTTCTTTGTATAGGTATAATGCAGAGAAATAGAGATCGTTGTGTTGGAGGTGTGGTAAGTACACATATTGGTGGTATAGCCTTTTTTCCTGCAGCGCATACATACATTTGCTTTTAATGTTTAAAAGTACAGTGCTGGGATGTACTAACTGTTGGCTGATATAGTGTGGTAAAACCAGACTAAATTGCTTACAGCTGAACCTTACTTAACTACTGTAATTTTTGGAATATAAGTCACACCCATATATTTTTTTTAGTACAAATTTAGGAAACATAAAATAAAACAACCTGTACCATAATTACAGTAAATTTTAGTTTGTGTAGCGCATGTAGTGGTTGAGAGTAAGGAATCCAATGTGTTTAGTGCATGTAGTGTGTAAGGAAACACAGTGGGTGTGTGAATTTGTGGGGTGGGATAGTGGCTGTGACCTGTGTGTTTTGGAGGAGTGGGGGTGAGAAGAGCAGCTTTATATTTTATTAATATTTCATATGTTAATTCCCTCTGCTCAGGGAGAGGGACACAGAATACCCTGGTGGTAAAAATACCTATTCGCCCGGAGCTATTGTGAGGACCCAGCTTGCACCTCTGCCGGGTGCAAGCTCTTATCAGGAGCCCCGGCTTGTGCAGAGTTGGAGCGTTGCTGTGATAACCCACGGCACTACTCTGACAAGCCGGGCTCACGCGAGAGAGGACACTGCAGAAGCCATGCTCTCTATCTCTACCTAAAGAAGCTTACAATAGAGACTAGTTGGAATTCTTTGATTTCCCTCACTGTGCCTGATTGTTGATGTGTATATAAAGCGATAAAACCTAAATATTATATATTATAATATTACAAAAAATACAGTATTTTGATATCTAATGAAGATGTTAAACTTCATCATCACAAACAAGGGGGTGGGGCGGAGTTTGAAATAAAAAAAATAAAAAAAACACCAATGTGTAGTCAAAAAATTGTGTCATTTGCTGTTCCTATATTACTTTTATTACTAATACTCAACTGGACAAGTGCTTTATAATGTCCTGTTGTTTAGGTTCATTCTTTTGATGGAACAAAGGAAGATGCTGAAGCGTTAATAAATTTAGATCTTTACATTGGAATTAATGGATGGTAAGTCAATCATTTTTATTTAATTTGTCTTCTTCCAATAATTGTTTGGGTGTCACATGCACGTGTTCCTTTTGGTTCCTACTGTATTAATTGTAGTTTTTATTTTATATTTAAAATCCCTTTCTTGTATAGTTCATTGAAGACAGAGTCTAACCTGGAAGTTCTGAAGTCTATACCTGCTGAAAGACTAATGATTGAAACAGGTATGGCGAATGATAAACTTGAAGGATGTTTGCAATTTGTTTTCTTACACATTAAACAGATAAACTCTACAAATAACATGGGAAGACCATGCTATGGAATATTTAATTGCCATGACAGTTCTCCTGGCAGAGCATTATGTTGAATATACAACCATATTGTAATTTAAGAAGAAAAAAAATGAAGAATATGAAGGGTAAATAATAAGAATTAAATGGGCAACATAACCTCTACAGCTCCATCCGGGGATGGTTTAGAAGTTGACATAAAATGGTCATGCACAGACAGCCCCCTCCTCAGCCATACACATAATTAAAGCTTCCGCATTATCAATATCATTTCTGTCAACCCCGAGTTTTACTGTTCACAACTCCCAGCCGACATGGCATATTGGCAAGATCTTATTTGTTTAAAAAGACGGATGCCATGCATAAGTGCCTGAATATTTTTTATTATTATGTATTAATAAATGGAGTCTGAAATCTCACTTGCGGCAAATTAAAATATGATTTGAAATAACTTCTAATTTTTGTGTATCAGATGCTCCCTGGTGCGGAGTAAAGAACACCCATGCAGGATCGAAATATGTTAAAACGACTTTCCCAACAAAAAAGAAATGGGAAGCCGGCCATTGTTTGAAGGATAGGAATGAGCCTTGTCATATAATGTAAGTATATAAATGACTTCAACATTATCTTACGTAGAAATAATATTGGCAACATTGAAGTGTTCCGCTGCCATTGTAAAATTTACCTTCCCACTTTTTACAAAATTTATGAAAATTATAGAAAAATATGCATATTTTGCCCAAATTGACTAATGAAGAGTGTTAGAGGACGATAGAAGTATTTACACAAGCTTGGACAGACGGAGTGTTATCATCATGGGAATATTCTACAACTGAGTAGATATGACATATCCATCAAACCTGGAGAGCAATGATTGGTTAAGGGGTTATTCTAGAACTCATTGACACTGATAATATTTATGCCAATTCCATAAAACCTGGAGAGCAGTGTTTGGGTTAGGGGGGGTTATTCTAGCACTCATTGACACTGATAATGTGTTAACGTAAATTCAACTTAATCAATGTGACCGAAGACAATTTGCAATAGAACAACTGCACTGAGCTGTAGTAGTTCTCAATGTGTCCCTTTAACTGCCATATGTGCCATGACTGGAAGCATTTGTTGTACCTGATTATAAAACTGAACACATTTGTGAGATACTGAGATGCTTCTGTATACCCATTGCAACTGTTTTAATTCAATTCCATGCCAAAGGCAAAAAGCTTAAAATAGAACTGTCATGAAGATGGTGGATATACTGCCTTTATAACAAAAACAGTCCTTGTTGCTGCTAACTGCAAGGAAGACTTAAAAACAGTATATAACCCTAAAACTAGATTTTTTTTTCCCACTTAAAAAAAAAAAAGCTTAAAGTGACCACTTTGTAGACAAATATGTATACACTGCTCATTCACAACATTAAAACCACTGACAGGTGAAGTGAATAACATTGATTATATGGTTACAATGGCACATGTCGAGGGGTGGAATATATTAGAAGTCAAGTGAACAGTCAGTTATTGAATTTCATGTGTTGGAAAAATGGGCAAGCCAAAATATCTGAGTGACTTTGACAAGGACCAAAAAGTGCATCGCTGTTTGCTGCATAACTGCAGACTGGGCCGAGTGCCCATGATCCACCTCTGAAAGCACCTTCAATGGGCATGTGAGCATCAGAATTGGACCATGGAGCAATGGAACAAGGTTGCCTGGTATGATGAATTACTGTTTCTTTTAAGTCAAGTGGATGGCCAGGTGTGTGTGTTGTTTACCTGGGGAAGAGATGGCCGCAAGCTGCACTATGGCAGGGAACCATCAACACTCACACTGATGTGGACTATACCAACATTATGGGAGATGTAGTCCACATCAGCTGGAGTGACGAATGTTGCCTACCCCAGCATTATGTGAAGAAGGCAGGCCAGCGGAGCAGTGTTGTGCTTCGAACAATATTCTGCTTGGAAACCTTGGGTCCTGGCATTCACATGCATGTTACTTTGACACGTACTACCTACCTAAAGATTGTTGCAGATCTTTCATGGCAATGGTGATCCCTGATGGCACTGGCCTCTTTCAGTAGGATAATGCACTATGCAAAAATTGGCCTGGAATGGTTTGAGGAACATGCAAGGTGTTGCCTTGGCCTCTAAATTCCCCATAACACAATCCGATTGAGCACCTGTGGGATGTGCAGGAACAACAACTCCGATCCATAGAGGCTCCACCTCACAACTTGAAGGACTTAAAGGATCTGCTGCTAATGTCTTGGTGCCAGATACCACAGGACACGTTCAGAGGTCTTGTGGCGTCCAACCCTCGATGCATCAGAGCATTTGGCAGTACGAGGGAGACCAACACGATATTAGACAGGTGGTTTTAATGTTGTGGTTAATCAGTGTAGGGTAGGACTTAATAAACATTTGTAGTCCTATGCTACTAGCCATGCTGTAATTAAACATTACTTGTCACTGCAAAGTATACCAAAGTGGAAATTTTTAGCCATGTATAGGCAATAAATTGTTCGCCATTCTTTGGTATTTGCACATTAAAGTGACACTGTCACCAACTGGAGAGTTTGACAAATTTCGGGTGGGGGCAGGACGACAGGTACAGGTGAGATTTATGTACCTGAACTTGTCCCTCACGGGCGCAGCCATCTTGTTCGGTCTGCTCTGACGTCACTACTATACTCTCAGCATTGAAGTCTGTGGAGGATTCCGCAAGATCCTCCATGGACAAAACCAATTCCATGCAGCCGTCACTGGAGCCGGGTGTCAGGATTGATACTTAGTCTCAGTGGGCAGAGAAATACAGTCCCTACTTTGTGTCTGTCTATATCTGGACTGGATTGGCATATCAGTGAAATTCCAACAGTCAAAATTAGTATTTCATAAAAATTCTATCATTATGAAAAACTCATTTTTCTGGGGTGGGGTGTGAAATTGCCACTTTAATAACCATCACACATTTAACTAGAGGGGAAAAAAATAATCTGTTGAGCACAAAGTAATATGTTCATAAACCGCCTTCCATGTTGGTAATACTGCCTTTGATATTGCAGACAGGTGCTCGAAATTATGGCTTTGGCTAGAGAAGAGGACCCACTAGAACTATCGAAGATCCTCTACAACAACACTATGAAAGTATTTTTCCCACACATGTAGAACTTTACAGGATCGTTAGAAATGTCTGAGTAGTTTTATTTGTGGTCAATAATCCAATAAACACAATCATATTTTACTCAGATCTATGACACTCATGGAGAAATCATGTCTTGCTATGTGCACATTATCAAAATATTGATAGTGGTAGGCTAAGGCATAGCCAACGGGAATTAATACTGCTGAGACAGTTTGGTTGACTGTAAAGTAACACTGGAAATAGATTTATTGAGGGCTTAGTGTTGCAAACAAAGGCAGTTGGTAACTTAATGCTAACAATACAACATAGTTGTATACAGATCAGCAACTATACAATAATTCATGCCACAGTGCTTAAGGCAGTTTTTATACAATATATTAAAAATCTTTTTTTTTTTTTTTTTTAAGACTCCATTTAGTAGTAAACAGATTTTCAAACAAATTATATTAGACATTTTCCCTTTTTTGAATTTGTATTTTCTTATAAATATATGGTAAGTTTCCATCCCTGAGCGGTGAACATGTATTTCAAACCGTTCACATTACATTGTTATTTAGCAGTACATAGAGACCAGTTGGTGACTACGTAAGCTTCCGGTAAGTTACATAATGTCATTTATACATTGTTCCAATTAAATCAATAGAAAACCTGTAGTTAAATGTTCCTTTTTAAGTAAATCCGCTCACCGAGATGTACTTTCATCCCACAATGCTCAGAACTAAATCCCAGACTCCTCTGCTTTCATTCTGGGAGTGAAATTGCCTGACTTTTAGTATTTCACACCACTGTTCAGAACACAATACTTACTATACATTGTGTATTGAAAGTACACCTCGCTTATCACTCAGATGACAGTGGTATATAATCATGAATATTCAACCCAAGATATTGATATGTATGGTCTATACAGTGTCTGCACATAATGGTCATGTGCCTGGTAACACGTGAATACTTTAAGTGATATGTCACACGGGAAAATCCATCCTTTTTAGCATAGGTTGAGACGTGATATGTATTTTACACGTTTCCGGGCCAGACCAAGCCATCCGTAACCTCGGCACATACAAGTTTTTATTTGTGTACTGTTAGTCAGTTTCACTATATGGATAATTTCAGTAGTCAGAACTCAGTTGCTTAGAATAAGAACAAATAAACCCAGTTTTTCTTAAAGCTATATATGCAGTACACTGCAACAAGAAGCCTTAAAGGCCAAGTCTATATTCACCAAGTTCAGATCCAACTAGATTGACAGACAAGGTACTGCATGGTTTGCTATTTTCATGAATAAGGTTATTTGGCACAGCTGAAAAGTGGTTCATGGGTGTTGCACAGAAGTGAAAACAGTAACAGGATTGGCTGATAAATTTAAGTGATTTCCCTTTCCCTATAGAATTTGCAGAAATATTTTTTTTTTTTATAGCTAAACAAAGGCTTCTCCTTAATGTATGAAAGTAGAGTGGGCAACTATACCGCCAGTAACTGTGATTACATATATGTAGCTAAATTACTCATTTATCACATTAGCTTGTTCCCATTTATGTCGTCAAAAATATTATAATCTCTATCCAAACAAAACTTTCCTATGAATATATTCACAATTTATGAGTTTCTCTACACTATGAATCAGCAGTGGGTCTGTTATTTCCAATGAACCTTTCTGATACTGCAATCAATTAGCATGCTAGTCGCTATGTGGCAGTGTTTGTGAAGGAAGCCAAGCAATAGCTAGAATGACACAGAATCCACACCAGACTGGCTGACGCAGAGCACTGGTACAACTTCTACTTGCTGATCACATTTTAAACTTAGTCGGAAATGGACTCTAGTATCTGCATCCACAAATGACACACAATAGCCAAAGGGCGGGCGGGCGGAAAGGAAGGGAAAGAGAGAGTGTGTGTCTGCCTGCATTTTATTTTCTTTCGGGCATCAATCAAGTATTCATAGAGCTCAGCAGCAGGTATGTATCAAAATCTATACTAACTGGGTGTTCGACTAAAGTGAGAATTCTAAGTGTGTTTTAAAATCAAGGTCAATATAGCAAACTGGGAAAAAGCTCTAAGTTCGCATTGCTTTTATTTGGACTACTCTGGCCTTAACTTTGAGATTCACTTCAATAAATAGCCCTGTATGAAATAAGGAAGAAGCAAAAATTTAAAGTTCCATACCCTTGTTTACCCTGTAGGGTTGTTTGTCCAAATAGTCTATTTATAATGTATGTATTTAGTCAAAACAGTTTGTTTGGGGTTTTTGCATGTGGGTTTATTGAAACTTGCCTTTAACCTTCACTTAGAATGTCAACAGATTGTCTTGGAATAGGCTGGCGGTGGACCTCATCCATGCACAGTCCTGATACGTTCACATAGGTCACCAGCAATCTTTACAATTTGTTCCAGTGTCATAGCTTTGACTAGACACATTTTCCTCATCTTACATAAATGGGACATTACCAAGAAAGAATGCATCTTAAAGCAGACTCGTCGCAAATGTGATATTGCTGTGGTTGTTGCTTTTGCTTGCTCAAGTCTGTTTACTAAAAATAAAAAAAGTGTATACATACATACATACACACGTCTGCCATTTTAAAAAGTCTCTCAGTTGCACAGCTTGGTTATGTTAAGACTGGGCATTAAAATTCTGTTTCAATTCCGAACAATGCTCTTTAATGATTGCTACACTTATGTATAGAAAAACAATGATGGCTAACAGTATGAGGACATGATATGTATTTCCATCTAATGTTGCTTCCATGTACCAAGTTGTCCATTTTATATAATAGATGTGTGCTGTGAAATTTGAAATATATTCCCAATATAATATAGTCATTTCATGATAATCACATTATTAAAACCCTTCAAACCAGGTAAAAGTTATACAGCATCTCACAATATAATGTTATTTTGGTAATGGCACAGTAGTCTATGCAGTGAATCAGTAAGTTCGATCCATGTGACTAAATTTATTACTTCACCATAAATTTCTGTTTAGCTGTGAAGAACTACCAATACAAAGTGGTCAACACAAGGAGCTTTCTGCATCTCTTCTTAATCTAGAATGGATCTGTGACTTTTTTTCTAGACAGTTTGAGGGTAAACTCAAAGTAACAGAATGTGCACACCAAACAACTGTGACTTGGAGGTGTTAGCAACAGATTTATTACTCATTGCTTTGGAGATATGAAAAAGTGCTTTTGTGTGTGCTCTCCCACCCCGCAACTCATAGTCAAGACTAACATGCCTAACTCACTCACTCCTACTCCACCCAAAAAAACCTAAAACACTTTGTGCAGTTCAAAATACCTTAAAAGCAGTGGTTCTCACATATGCATCTGCATCAAATGACAGACACTTTCCCACAGTAGCAGTTATTGTACAAAACCCACGTGTTTATTTTAGAAACAGGAATACCAATAGTCATCATGATTTTACTACTACAGAGGTTCCCAAGCCAATCCTCAAGGCACATGAACAAGTCCATATTTGATCATTATCCTCATTGGAAGTGGTTTGTGAAAAGTCTAAATCCAAGACTGTTGATGTACCTTGAGGCGGTTTTGGAACCCAACAGTCATTGTTTCCAATTGATGAAGTGATCGCTCACAAATGGTTGCATGGGCTGAGCATGATGTGATGTTTATGGTGCCAGGAGTTTCCTGGAACTGTCCAATTGTCAAATCATTTTTGAACAGTTTAAAAATAAGCTGGGTCCTGTAGGTGGCCAGGTTCTGCCCTTCTTCTCAGACATCCATCTCTGTACGCAATGTTGCTCCCATCACATTTTTTTAAGTAAACTTTTATATATTGGCATAGAAAGAAACCAAACCATTACCATTCCATCTAATTTCAAAAATGTATAAAATAAAATGGAACCGATTATGGCATTAGAGAAGGTAAAATTTAACATTCAGTTAAGAGCAAATACTAGGATATAGACTGCAGCTTCACAAATGCAGTCCTGGTGTCAACAGATTACAGCATGGATAGTAAAAAGAACAAAAAAAAATAAAATAAATAGTAGCCCAAATCTACTTGTTCTGACACACTAATTCAACAGGAAATATTTTTTGGGGAGGGGAGATATTCAAGAGTGCAGGATTTTTCATTTGGATCATGTGGTGTGTGGAATATTAGTACCGAACAATCCTAAGGAAAACAGTCACATGCAAGTGAGCAATCCGCTTTTTCTATATACTTGGATTTCATGGATGGTCTGTCTTATTTTTTGCATGCAATGTTTTAATCTAGTGGTCCATGGGGGGGGTAAGAGGGTGTCAAAACTTGCCTAGTGGTTTAACGGTGAACCCTTTAAAACCCGCCTGAGGGATTTAGGGGGTTATTGTGGACTGAATTTTTCAGAATCTCTCCCTTGCAGTTCAGCATTCAGTGATTCAGAGTGCGTGCTGATAGTTCTGACAGCTGCATTCTGGCTCACTTGAGAGGGCCAGACCTCAAGGTAGCGATTATGGAGGTCTGCACCTGATGGAGATACAGACCTCACACTCCCTGCTCAGACCCTATTCTCCCAGGAGCGGTCTTGCCACTTTCCTGCGGCAGGGCGAAAAGATGTAATCTGCCTCACACCCGGAACTGCAATAGGAATTTCACACCCATGTACATTTATTTTGGTGATATATGAAAAATCATCTTTCAGTAGCTATAGTACTGCCAGCCCTCCCTTCTTTCTCTAGTACAGACTTTCATTTGGTGCAGTGAATTGACTGATGTTTCTCATTGGGCTAGCAATGTGCGACTTCATTTACACTTTTCTCAAGGTTCCAGATTTGGGTCTATTTTTAGGACACCATGGGTTAAGTGGTTCACTAATCTAACAGTAATTTAACAGATATGAAATGGTCAATTTTTCTTTTTACACTTTAAAACTCTGTAGTTAACGCGCTATTTAATTAACACCATGGTGTTAATCATTTTTTGAGACCAAGGCTCATTTGTGAAATACTCTGCTGCAAAAAAAACCCAAAAAGGATACTTTTTTTTTACATTGTGTACACATGGTCTCAGCCTGATGCAGAGAACAGAATACCTGCATGAATAGTTAATGGTTACTCAGTTATAGGACATTAAAACCATGAGACTGATGCACACGGCTGAAAAGGTGTCTTAAACAAGTGATGCAAAATCAACTTTTTATTCCATGTACAAGAATGTACACATTTAATCAGGTCACAAAAGAGACCAAGAGATATTTACAGTAGCACTTTACAGAAATGTTCCGTTCAAACCCTTGCGTCAAGATTCAAAAAAAACTTGTGCTTTCAGAATTAAACAGTGGAAGCTTAATCTCTGCTCTGTAGCCCCAAATAAACCTCTCAATGATTTAGACAACAGCAAAATTAATGTTAAATACAAATAATGTTTAATCCCCCATGGAGTCAGTGTCATTGACAGATTCTTCGGCAGTGGAAGTGCGCGGCTGACTATTCCACTCTTCTTCATCACCCTCTGAACTCTCGTCTTCGCTAAGGCTGTTCTCCAATTCAGGCTCTGCACCTTCGTCTACGGGAACCTGAGCAGGCTCCTCATTTAGCACAATAAACCCATTATTGTTAGAAAATGAAGCAGTGTCTTTCAGGTCTTCTTCCACGTATACTTTTTGATGGCACATCGGACAAGTGTCTTGGATATACAGCCACTTTCGTAGGCAGAGGGCATGAAAGTAATGGTGACATGGCGTAACACGGGCAGAAGTTTGGAATTCTTGATAGCAGATTGCACAGACATCGTCTATCTCCCTCAATTCCGATAATTTAACTTCTGGAAGAGAATTGATTTTTTTCACAGCTGTCCTCCTGTTGATAAAGGTCTTCCATCCATTCCTAGCTTGAAGGTAAATGTTGAAATAGGCATGCAAACACATCATACAAGCACGGATTTTGCTACCTGACTCAAACATCATTGTATAAGCTCCATTTCCAAACATGATTACTCCAAAGATAAACTCTATTATGTTACCAGTTGATCGCACATGGTAGACATAGTCATCAAGTCTTTCCCACAGTACACTGTAGTAACCATCAATCATAAAGAGTGTGTATACTGTGAGAGACACAATTACTTTTAAACACAGCTCTACACAGAAGGCGGTCACTGCAAACAGCCATGTGTTTAGTGCATAGTAGTGCCACAAGAAGCAGCTGAGAAGAACAGAAAACATGAAAAGACAGACAGACACAAACAATACTGGAAAATGCCTACGAAAAGAGGACACATGAGAGGCACTGAGTGACATCAACACTGGGTCAGTCATTCCATGAATAAAATGTAAAATGGCAGTCAACAAAAGGCACATGTTCCGACAAAGGCGTACAAGTCGATCTTCTGGTTTTAAGCCACTCAAACCAGTTTGTAGGGCCAAAATGAAAAAAAGAACCGGGGCTACAAAGCCAAGCCGTTTATCCTCTTCTTCTGTTGAACCTATGAAAGCAAGTATTCCAAGTCCCAGGTAATGTGCTATGGAAGAGATTACAGCACTCATCCCTAACACAGTTAGTGTGGAGTCGCAGCCACTAATTATAAGGTTGCAGAAAAGTTCCCAAATGTCATGCCAGTGTATGAAGTAAGTGGCTTCCCCCGTTTCACTGGCGGACATCCTGAACAAGTAGATTAAAAATACTGCCTGGGTGGCGAGTCTGCTGAGCCAGAAGACTCTGAGGACATCGGGGAAGTGAATCTTTTTCCATGCATCTTCAATCATCAGCTGTAGTCCATAAATCCTGTACATTTGCTTTAACAGAAGGACAGTATAGCGAGTTGAATAGTAGAACCATTTAAATCGGCTGGACAAGCATACTATAGTGAAACCGACCAGAACAAAGCCAGAAATGGACACTAGCACTTGTTGCACTAGGATTGGAAGTTCCAATATTAAACCAACAACAGGGATTAAAAGATCCAGTATTATTAGTTGAGAGTAGACTGACTGGACCTCCAGCAGTGTAAGGAATCCAATCCCAAAAAAAAGTTGCAAGATAGTGAGTGTCATCCACAATGAGGGTCCATTTTGTGGAAGGAAGTCCATCCCAAATGCCACCGAGTGATAGGCACGGTGAAAGTTAAGGTGCATTGTGGCATAGTAATTCACCAACATCGAACTTGCAGCCACTATGAGGGCCATGGTGATCATATAAACCTTGAAAAGTGCTCTTCGTGATAACATCAGCACAACCGTGGATGCCAAAACACCTAAAAAGGCAAAAGAAAAAATATTTACTACAAAAATACTCTTAAATTACAAATATCCTTAATAAATACTGATCCAACCACAACATGAAAAAACTTCTCAAGTTACCATGACTATTGTATAGACATACAGCTTTAAGCATTTAAGGTTATATTTATGGAATAATCCAATTCCAAAAGAATAAACCACTATATTATATACACAGCATTCCATTTCACCATAGGGTATAAAAAAAAAAAAACAAAACAAAGAACACAATGACAACCTGGTGTAGCATCTAGACCTTAAAAGGGTCAAAATAATACATCATGTCTAATGGAATGGCTCAAGAGAGCGAACTTTGTCTTTGCATGTATTTAACCAGATTAGTTTTTCTCGGTCAGTTCAAATGTAGGAGAAAGCAATGTGTGCATTTTTCTGAAGCAGTACCTCTCTTACCGCTTGATACAATTAAGTATATGCAGTTATGACACCTGAAATTGGTGAAGCAGTTTGATATATGTGCAGAAGAGAAATGCAACCACCACCTAATCTCCCTATCCCACCAGTGATACTGCCTCTGGGAAGCTAGATCAATTGAATTTCATATTCTGGTATTTACATTTTATTAGCTGTCATGGAACCGGTTTGACCACACATGAGAGTATCTTTTTGAAATGTAGACGTTCAAAAAGGCATTTAGATAAGGGTATTTTTAAAAAAAAAAATTTAAATCATTCTTTAAGAGTTTTTTTTTTTTTTTTTTTTAAATGAAAGGTAACAGTAGAAGCAACAGATCTATGCAAAAATATGTAAATGTGCATTTCAAGCAATGCACTATATTAAAGGAACACAAACCTGTATTCATGTCACTATAGCTGTGAAAGCAATGTTTAGCCTCTGTTAGCTATTTGAAAGGTGAGTTTACTCACCTTTATTCCAGGTCTGTGCGGGTCTGTTGGCATTGGCGCCTTAAGATAATCAAAATTGCTTTCCCATAGGAGAACACTGGGAGGCTATTACGCGCGCGCAGCAAGACACCGCTCTGAGACAATCAATGCATCTCTATGGGGAATGTTCAGTGTCTCCGTGCAGAGAATGGAAGCACTTCTAGTACCCGTCTGAGTGACCGCCACTGGAGAAGTCCTTAAGCAATAATGCAAACACTGCCTTTTCTTGAAACAGCAGTATTTACATTAAAATGCCTGCAGGGACATGCTAGACACCAGAACAACTACATTAAAGGACCACTCTAGGCACCCAGACCACTTCAGCTTAATGAAGTGGTCTGGGTGCCAGGTCCAGCTAGGGTTAACCCATTTTTTCATAAACATAGCAGTTTCAGAGAAACTGCTATGTTTATGAATGGGTTAAGCCTTCCCCATTTCCTCTAGTGGCTGTCTCATTGACAGCCGCTAGAGGCGCTTGCGTGCTTCTCACTGTGATTTTCACAGTGAGAGCACGCCAGCATCCATAGGAAAGCATTGTAAATGCTTTCCTATGCGATCAGCTGAATGCGCGCGCAGCTCTTGCCGCGCGTGCGTATTCAGCCGACGGGGAGGCACGGAGGAGGAGAGCTCCCCGCCCAGCGCTGGAAAAAGGTACGTTTAACCCCTTTTCCCCTTTCCAGAGCCGGGCAGGGGGATGGGGGCACAAGTATGTTTTCCTGGCACTATAGTGGTCCTTTAAGCTGTAATTGTTCTGGTGACTATAGTGTCCATTTTAGCTGAAGACAAAACATGGGAAACAGTTGACAAATGACCAAGAATACATCAGTAAAACAGAGCTGCAAATTCTAAAAAATATAAACATAAAAAGGTAACAAGCAACAAAAAGAAACAGGTATTCAAGAAAAAGAAAAGGCAGAGGCGCATTTACATTTTATTTAAACCAATCTCTTCTAACGTGGTATTTTTGCATTTATCTTTCTTACACACAGCATTGTATGGATACTGCAAAATCTGTAAAATGTATATATTCAGGAAATTAATTGAACGTGTTTAGCTATATCCCCAATGAACAGCAATGACCCACTTGTAAAGGGTTGCCGGGAATATTTTCCTTACTATTTATGCTTAGTAGCGCCGGTCCCCATGGGTTGCTCCACCTCCTTGGCCGAGATCATATAGATCTATGATCTCTGCCAATCCAATGCTGAACCAATCTTAGACCATCTGATAAAAATAGATTTTAAATCTATTTGAACAGAAATGCCTCTGATGGGTGCCAATCTTTAAGATGAAGTAGCCTGTGTGCTTATAGAGTCCCTTTAAGTTTGGCCTTATAACCACAAAACTGCCTTGCAACTCTATTAAAAAGGGTAATTCTTGTTCCTTGGGGATGAAGCTAAAGCACATTAATTTAATTTCCTGAATTAAAAATGCATTTTATATAACTGCAGCACGGCCATTCAGGTGTCTCCAACCTCTGCATGCAGAAACTGAAATTTCCTCATAGATATGCATTGATTCAATGCATCTCTATGAGGAGATGCTGATTGGCCAGGGCTGTGTTTGACATGTGCTGGCTCTGCCCCTGATCTGCCTCCTCGACAGTCTCAGCCAATCTGAATATTAATCCATTAATATTTTTCCACTGTGTGCTATTGAGTATAGATTTGACTTGATTTGTCTGTGTGTCTGACATAGCTGTCTGTGTGTATGTGTGTTTGCAATTGTGCCATGTTTTTTGCAGGCAGCAACAGTAAGGAGCAGGAGGAGGGCTGAAAAGGGGGAGAAGGAATAAACTTTGAGAGCTGTAAAAATAAAAAGGAATAACAGAAATGTGCTAAAAAAAAAAAGTGATGCAAGCTTGAAGTAGGAGAGCAGTTTGAGAGCTGTAAAAAATAAAAGGAGTAAAAGAAAAGTGATAAATAAGAGGGGGAAGCTGTTAATTAAGAAAATGAATAAGTAGGAGGGCTTAAGAGAGGTGCCCCCATTTAACAAGTGCAGCATGTCTCTTCATTGAATAGTATGAGTATTGAAGATAATTTGATGAAGGTATTTTAATATGATATGTATTCCTTTAACATTCCTTCAACATACATGTATTTGCTATGCTTTCATTTTCTATTTGTACTGAATAATTTAGGTTTTCAACAGTAAAATGTGTTGGTCAGGAACAGAACCCATGTTTATTACATTGTGTCTATGGGAAATTAGTTCTCACTTTATGAACTACCTGTATACCAAAAAAGTATTTGCATATATGGAATGTCTTTTTTTTTTTTTTTTTAAAGGAAATCCTTTGAAAAAAAAATATAAGACAAAAATAAAGTAGGAAACTAAATTTAAAGTTATTCACTACTTTGGGACAGCATTTCACTTGTAATCACCATTTATACCCAACACCATCTTACTCAAGAAAGAATATATGTTTTAATTACAGAAATGCAGTTAAATGAAGATAAGTTACACCTGATGAACATACTGGAGTCAGCTTACTTGGCATCAAATACACTTTAATCATTTATCAGAATAGTTTGGTGACGTGTCATACAAGAGTCTATTCATTTCCCAGGTTTATGGAATTTTGAAACAGACATGTTTCTAATTAAACTTTGCAAAGTAATACTTGGCAGGGATTCCTTTGCAATGCATACAGGACAAAACCAGAATACATGCGAATGAGCAATAACATAATTAGCTTGTCCTTTGATTTGTCTCCTCAAACAGATTTTTAGCTCACATGTGCCATTACAGAATGGACCTTAAGCATTTGCATCAGACTGATCTTCCACAATCTAAGTGCTTGAAAATTCTCTGAATGTCTCATTTTCATATAACTAGGTCTTCCTAACTCAATACAGTAAAATAATTCTGATAAGGACCCAAGGCTTACTACACATAGAGGGGAATAACTTACACTTCAGTGATAATATCCAATGAAGGTTAAACAGATCATATGACGATGCTGTATCTCTCATGAGTACTGGCCTCGTGGGTGGGATCGGTCTAATGATGTTCATAATTTTAGTAAAAGGAGCACTATATTGTGTTATAAATAAAAATCTGTGTTCAACTTCATCATGAGGGGAACCTAATGTGCATGTGTCTCTACAAATGCGCCACAGAGTCAAAGTGTTGAAGACACATTTGTTTGAGGCTAAAAGGATTCCCCCCCCTCCCCCCTTTTTTTTTTTTTAAAGGGAAGCAATTCAGGTTTGGCTGCATACTCCACTAGCTGGTTAATGTACACAGTTTAAATATCTGGCAAACTTAGAGACATTCAATGCAATCAAACCACTTCAGTTTATTGGAGAAGTTCTGGTGCTAGAGCAGAGGCAGGAAATCTTCGACACTTCATTTTGTGGACTACATCTCCCCTGATGCTTTATCAGCATTGTGGATTTAAGGACATTGTGGGAGATGTCCACAACATATGGAGTGCCGAAGGTTGCCTACCCCGTGGTAGAATGTCACCATGCACCCTTTTACTTGACCAATTTATCAAACTAATAAAATAGGATTTGAAAAGGGGAGCCTGTGAGAGCCATGAATTACACTTCCTGGCATGCATACCAATGTATGAACTAGAATGTCATTGCCAACGTAGATGGACTTGCAGACACTTGTCCCAAAGACCAAATATTGTCTGTCTCTGTGATGTCTGTTGGAGCATTGTGTGGCTCTGGGTATTCAGCACCAATCTAACAGAATGAGCCAAGTCTACACTTGTAGGTTCTTGCTCCCAGGCAGCATTGTCTGTAAGTGAATCCAGGTCAACGTATGTGTGCTGAGAGCCAATAAACGTAATTCCTCGATTTTTGATTAAGTTTCATGCTTTAAAGCGGGACTGTCATTCCCCACCTTGCCCCTTAAGAAATTAGTATTCATAGAGAGAGAATGTTTATGAAATACTCATTAACTGTTAACTAAAATTCCAACCCAGTCAAGAGAAAAGTTGAGGGACTACTCTATCTCTGTATAATTTCTACACCTGACACTTCTAGACAGCAGTAGCTCCGCCCAGTGTCTAGAAGTGTAAAGTTCCCCAGCCATCACCAATGACAGCTGCAGAGAAATGGCTTTATCTATGGAGGATCACGCGGTTTCATATATGCGCAAGAGTTCAGCTGTGACTTCGGCTCTTGGTGCAAAAGCACCAGGAGCTGAAGAGGATCCGCCTGAAGTTGACGGCAGCACACACGTGGACAGATTCAGATAAGTAGAATTTACCTTTGCCTGACGCATTCCCCCCATCCCACCGTCGAGGGGCTTGCTTTGCTGATAGAATTATATACAGAGGAATAAAGCATACATTTCCATAAAGATTATTTACAACTACAAAAGATCTGGTATTTGACAGAAGATGGTGTTACAAACATAACATATAATTTTAACCGAATATTGTATTTGTGCCTATCAACCTGAAATCATGTGATACTTTCTAGCGCAGGGCTGCCGAACAGGTAGATCCCCAGATGTTGTAGAACTTCAACTCCCTTGATGCTTTGCATGCCTTTAGAAAGACAAAGCATCATGGGAGTTGTAGTTCTACAACATCTGGGGATCTACCTATTGGGCTGCCCTGTTCTAGAGGCATAATTAGAACTTGCCAAGATTGATTTCAGAAAATAAGTGTATGGTTGTTAAATGGATGCAGATGACAGCTAGGATGAAGTGAGTTTACAGAGGAAGAGGTTCTATTTCAACTGTCAAAAGTAAAGACAAATAAGTCAATGGGACCTGATGGAATACACCCAAAGCTATTAAAAGAGCTTAGTGGTGTACTAGCAAAACCATTAACAGATTTATTTAACTAATCATTGTTAACAGGAGTAGTCCCAGAAGATTGGAAGTTAGCGAATGTTGTGCCCATTTACAAGAAAGGTAATAGGGAGGAGTCGGGCAACTATAGGCCAGTAAGCCTTACTTCAGTAGTGGGGAAAGTGATGGAAACCATGTTAAAGGATAGGATTGTTGAACATCTAAAAACACATGGATTTCAAGATCAGAGACAACATGGGTTTACTTCAGGGAGATCATGCCAAACTAATCTTATTGATTTTTTTGATTGGGTAACTAAAATTATATATCAGGGTGGTGCAGTAGACATTGCTTACCTAGATTTCAGTAAGGCTTTTGACACTGTTGCACATAGAAGGCTTATCAATAAACTGCAATCTTTAAGTTTGGATTCCAATATTGTTGAATGGGTAAGGCAGTGGCTGAGTGACAGGCAACAGAGGGTTGTAGTTAATGGAATATATTCGAAGCTTGGACTTGTCACCAGTGGGGTACCTCAGGGATCTGTACTTGGACCCATTCTCTTTAATATTTTTATTAATGATATTGCAGAAGGTCTTGATGGTAAGGTATGTCTTTTTGCTGATGATACTAAGATATGTAACAGGGTTGATGTTCCAGGAGGGATAAGCCAAATGGCAAATGATTTAGGTAAACTAGAAAAATGGTCAGAATTGTGGCAACTGACATTTAATGTGGATAAGTGCAAGATAATGCATCTTGGACGTAAAAACCCAAGGGCAGAGTACAGAATATTTGATAGAGTCCTAACCTCAACATCTAAGGAAAGAGATTTAGGGGTGATTATTTCATATGACATAAAGGTAGGCAGACAATGTAATAGAGCAGCCGGAAATGCTAGCAGAATGCTTGGTTGTATAGGGAGAGGTATTAGCAGTAGAAAGAGGGAAGTGCTCATGCCATTGTACAGAACACTGGTGAGACCTCACTTGGAGTATTGTACACAGTACTGGAGACCGTATCTTCAGAAGTATATTGATACCTTAGAGAGGGTTCAGAGAAGGGCTACTAAACTGGTTCATGGATTGCGGGATAAAACTTACCAGGAAAGGTTAAAGGATCTTAACATGTATAGCTTGGAGGAAAGACGAGACAGGGGGGATATGATAGAAACATTTAAATACATAAAGGGAATCAACACAGTAAAGGAGGAGACTATATTTAAAAGAAGAAAAACTACCACAACAAGAGGACATAGTCTTAAATTAGAGGGACAAAGGTTTAAAAATAATATCAGGAAGTATTACTTTACTGAGAGGGTAGTGGATGCATGGAATAGCCTTCCAGCTGAAGTGGTAGAGGTTAACACAGTAAGGAGTTTAAGCATGCGTGGGATAGGCATAAGGCTATCCTAACTATAAGATAAGGCCAGGGACTAATGAAAGTATTTAGAAAATTGGGCAGACTAGATGGGCCGAATGGTTCTTATCTGTTGTCACATTCTATGTTTCTAAGTTTGTTTAAAAGTACACACCAAGCTGAAGTTGACCACCATTTTGTTAATGGATTTTTATCAGAGACCATTTTCTATAGTACAATTTGTCCATGCACCACTTCAGTACCCGGAGATCAACCTAGCATTAAAATAAGCGCAAATCACATGCAATACTACATTGCATAGAGTTTGTTAAATATTTGTATAGTACAGGACCCTGGGAGGAGAGACACACCTAGCCTGCTATATAAGCGGGTAATAAAATCAAATATCATTTAAAAAGAAAGGTTGGCTTTAAAAGGAACACTCCAAGCACTAACCACTACCGCCAGTAGTGCCCTAGTGCCTTCCTAGTATAACCATGAACTTCTCAGGCCCCCTTTTAGGAAAATCCCATTATCTACTCTGAGCTAAGCAGGGCCACGCTCACAGGCTGAGAATGTCAACTTAGCACTTGCAGCCAATTAGCACAGTGCAGGATTGGCCAGGCTCAGCGCAGTTAAGACACCTGACTTGTCCTGCAGGACTGTAGTTGTTATGGTGTATGGAGTGTTCCTTTAACAGGTTGTAGAGAAGGTGCAAATAATATGATTACAGCACCATTGATTCAATCAGTACGGATATTGCGCTGAAACTAGAATAAGGATGTGTAGCAAACTTCTTAATTACATTTCAGTACATTTCGTAAACAGTTGCTACAAACTTAATATGTTCCTCTTTGCAGCACCCAAGGCCAATTCTATTCCTCACAAACAAAACTACAACAGAAAACCAAGATAGCCAAGCATAAATTATTTAAATTATCTTTAAAGTCTACAGCAGCAGCTCGCCGCCATATCGAACATGTTTTGACTAAAACTAAACTTGATAAAGACCACATTTCTAACTGAAGTGCTCGGATCCTTTATTTTCAACATTCTATGCACTTGTGAAATCCTTAATATCGCTTTGATTTATATTGCCTTGCTGAAAAGGTATACTGTACATTTAGTACAAAAATTGATTTACAATTTTTTTTTTTTTTTAAAGTTTAAACATAGTAATTAAGAATCCCGTGGTGGGGGGAGGAGCTGGATAATGGCTTGTATTTAGATCAGTCACCAGTATCTTGGGCATTATATCTTGAACCGACAGACAGTCTGTTAACCTGCATTAACAGACCAGCTCCAGGGTGCTTCCAGCGATCGTGTGTGGTGATCCTTGCCGCCAGGGGGAAGAGGCAGCTGATCTCCTGGCCCGATGCTTGTTGCCTGAAGGAACCGAAAAAAACGTCTGCAATGCGTTTTACTGCACATGTGCTATTCTTTCCAATCCTTCTCTATGAGAAGCATTGAACTGGAAGACACCACAGGTGAAGTCAGCAGGCTTGTTGAAATCACCAGAAGTTGGTGCTGCAGCCAAAGTGTCCTAGAGCTGGAAACGAGAGGAGTAATATTTATTTAGGTCATTTTTACAGGGCAAGGAGGTGTGGACGGAAGGGATACCTATAGTATTTTTGGGACTATAGATTCCCTTTAAAAAAAGAGTAACTCCCACACAAACGCTACAAAATCAAAGTTGGTGCATTCTCACCATCATTTATATACAAACAGGGCTTGTGCAGCTTTCTAAATTACAAATCAATCTGGGTAGATCTTATAAGTAAGCTTTTAAAGTCTGCAAAGGGTTAACAACGATGGGCTTATATGATGAGGAAAATATACTCTGTCAAACGGTCAGTCATTATCTTTTTATAAGAAATATTGGAGCAGTCATTTCCTTCCTTCACCGACATGATTTTCAGATAAATTTGCATTAATCACTTACCACTATACATAAGCCAGGCTGAAGCCACAAAGGTTAAACAAACAAGACAGACTGGTTTATTGCCCACACCTTAACGTAAGAGAAACTTTCCCCCATGCTTTTTCATAAATTTTGTAGATATAGACTGGTAAACTTTATAAACTTCAGCATTGTTATGTTAAACCATGATAAAATAGAAAAAAAAACATAGGGGTTTACTCACTAAACCAGTTTTGACCAGACTGCCATTGCTCACATTAATTTTAGGGCAATAATAGATTGAATGCAGTCGTGTTTTTTTTTGTCAGCATTAAAATTGTGATTCCCATCTGCAATTGAAACATAGGTCAACTTGGCTAAATGTATTAATAGGCCTCTGTCATATAGAGCTTGCTGAATTGCTTCATGGGTGAGGAGTATTCTATTTAAACACTAGTTCTAAGAGAGATCTGTCCTTTTATAATAAACTATGGAACAGCCAGGGATGATTGCATCCTCCTTCAGCTAGCTACCTCGAACTAACAGAAGTAGCAGGCGTGCTCTACTTCAGCGCACCTGCCTCCTCCCACACAGACTTCAGATCAGCTCACCCAGACCTCATACCAAATATGCGTGCATGCACGCGAGGGCACCAATTCAGAGCCTTTATTTCCCTGTGAAGAGACTGAAAGGCTGCAGTGTTCCGGAGCATTTAAGATATACCCCAATGAACACATGCATGTATTTATTGAGCTTTATCTACGAAACAGTGATTTATTTATCACCCATTTTTGCAGTGGAGCATTTCTTTAATATAATCATTTCATCAAGCTTTGAAAGGAACTAGATTTCTGTAAATTAAGTACCGTATATACTCGAGTATAAGTCGAGTTTTTCAGCACATTTTTGGTGCTAAAAAATCCCCACTCGACTTATACTCGAGTCTGCACAGCCCATCCACTGGACCACCAGGGATGAAGATAGGCCCCCTCCCTGACCAGGTAAGCAGGGAGGGGAAAAAAAAATTAAAATTTTTTTAATAAAAATGCCCTCCCCCCACCCAGTTTACACACACACACTCTGCAAAATATATATATATATATATACACACACACACACATACACACACATACATACATACGATTATGTCATGTTATCTAGCTAAATTCTGACAAAATTTTCACCCTCGACTTATCCACGAGGCATAGCATATTTCACAATTGTTGGTCACAAAACTGCACTCTACTTATACACAAGTATATAGGGTATATGTAAAAAAAAAAATATATATATTTTTTTTTTAATTAAAAACGAAAAAAAGCTCATCCCTGCCTTTAATATATGACAGGATCCTTCAGCCAGGTACAGGTATAAGGCGGAAGGATCATATATACTAAAAGCTAGAGATGAGGTTATTGCATACTAAAAAAAAAACTAATTTTTTTTTTTTTTTTAAATGACTGGTCCCCCTCCGATAGCATAGAAAAGGTGTTTACTCCCCATTTCCCCCCCAATGCTGCGCTGATCTCCATTGCCTGAGAGCATTAAGCTTGATGAGCTCAACCAATCCAATGCTTTGCCATAGGAAAGGTAGGGTATTGTGCATGTGCAGCAAAACGCCATATCGCGTCAATTGACATCTCCTCATAGAGATGCATTGAAACAATCAGCACCTCCGTGCAAAGCGTGGAGACGCTAAATGCAGGTGCTGCATACTACTTAACTCACCTGGACTAGAGAGCACCTCTAGAGGCTAAGTGACTACCACTAGAGGTGTTACTAAGCGTGAAAAGTTAGTGTTTACATTGAAAAGCATTCAGAGACAGCAGAACCACTACATTAAACTGTAGTGGTTCTGGGGACTAGTGTCCCTTTGCGAATTGCATTTTTATTGTTGATAAAGCTTTGTTAAATAAAAAAAAATATTCCTGGCTCCTAGATTCAAAGCAAATTTTGTCAAGCCCCGAGTCACACAACGCATACAGGTTCACGCTGTGCCTGAGGACTCCTTATGTGAAGAAAACAGCCTCTATCACAGAGGAGTGGTCAAACATTTATATTGTACAATATTCCAGAACAGCTTCACAGGTACTCGCACATGCAGAGTCCATACTATCTTCCTGCCTGACATGTATCAGACAGCTTTCAAAGATCAGATAGCATATGGATGTCTAACCTTTGGAACTGAAGCCATTGTTGATTGCATTTCTCATGAAATGAAAAAAAAAACTTTTTATGCAGAAAGGCAAACGTCATTCACAATATTGGCTTAGCTTACCAATGGATACAATTCATTGTAATAAACTCACAGAATCTATTCTCAAAATGTGAATTTTGGAAATTCAAAGTAAATCTCAAATAAAATGTCAACTATGATTTAAGTTCAACTATTTTGGCCTAGAATATGAAATTCACTTTTCACTTCTGACATTTGAAGTGTTAATGAATAACCTAAAAGTAAACATGGAATTGCAAATTAGCATAACATTATTTTTTTTTTTGCAACTACTCTTAAGCTTCGATATATTTAATAAAAAAAATAAATTTAAAAAAAAAAAAAAAAAAGGTATTTCCTCTATACTTAATAATCCAGACAGTCCCTTTTCACATTATCAAGTACATTAGTTATTTCTCAATCCAGTTTTTTTTTTTCCCCAAACACTGGTGTCCTGAGAATATCCTGTTTGTTGTAGCAGAGCCAATATACACCTTCTATGTAACCTTTGGCATATCCTATTTTGGACAGCTCTTCTCATGGTGCACTGTCACCCACATGGTTGCATATGTGCCATAAGAACAGCAGTCCCTGAGAAGGCCAACAGAGGCAGAGGCCAGTGATTGCCAGCTGTTGTAAAATTACAAGTCCCTATATGATCAGCAGGGCAAAGGGGCTGCCAATATACTTCAACATTTGCTGGTAATTTAGGCTTTGGATAGCCCAGGATGGTGTGGACAATATATGGTCAGTCACCCAAGTGTTGCATAACTACAACTCCCATCAAACCGACAGCATAACGTCTGACAAGGCATTAATCAGGAGGTACTCAACTTCTGCTATAAGATAGTCTGAATATATATATATACACACATACACACACACACACATACATATATATATATACATATAGATACACACACACACACCCCCCCTCAATGTGCTGTGATATAATGCCAAATATCCTCAGCCAAAATAAATGCTTAAACAACATCATGGGAGTTGTAGTTGTACACTTATTAGTAATCTAAGCTTTGACCAGCTAAGGCTGGTGGAGACAGTATGTGGTAGGATCCCCAGCTGTTTCACAACTACAACTCCCATCATGCTCTGCACCATAAGACTTGTGTCACCCAGTGGGTAGAGAATGAATGCTGGCAGAGCATGCTGGGAGCTGTAGTAGTGCAGCTGTCGGTCGGTCGGTCAGTGCGGGCTCTCACCCAGTAGCTCGAGGCTGGCAGTCAGTCAGTCGCTCACCCAGTAGCCTGAGGCCGGCATGCAGTCAGTCAGTCAGTCAGTCGGTCGGTGTGGGGCTCTCACCCAGTATCCGGAGGCCGGCATGCAGTCAGTCAGTCAGTCAGTCGCTCACCCAGTAGCCGGAGGCTGGCATGTAGTCGGTCGGTCAGTCAGTCGGTCAGTCAGTCAGTGCGGGGCTCTCACCCAGTAGCCTGAGGCCGACATGCAGTCAGTCGGTCAGTCAGTCAGTCGGTCGGTCGGTCGGTGTGGGGCTCTCACCCAGTAGCCTGAGGCCGGCATGCAGTCGGTCAGTCGGTCGGTCGGTCGGTCAGGGCTCTCACCCAGTAGCCCGAGGCTGGCAGTCAGTCAGTCGCTCACCCAGTAGCCTGAGGCCGGCATGCAGTCGGTCAGTCAGTCAGTCGGTCGGTGTGGGGCTCTCACCCAGTAGCCTGAGGCCGGCATGCAGTCGGTCAGTCAGTCAGTCGGTCGGTGTGGGGCTCTCACCCAGTAGCCTGAGGCCGGCATGCAGTCGGTCAGTCGGTCGGTCGGTCGGTCAGGGCTCTCACCCAGTAGCCCGAGGCTGGCAGTCAGTCAGTCAGTCAGTCAGTCGGTCGGTGTGGGGCTCTCACCCAGTATCCGGAGGCCGGCATGCAGTCAGTCAGTCAGTCGGTCGGTCGGTGTGGGGCTCTCACCCAGTATCCGGAGGCCGGCATGCAGTCAGTCAGTCAGTCAGTCGGTCGGTCGGTCGGTCGGTCGGTCGGTGCGGGGCTCTCACCCAGTATCCGGAGGCCGGCATGCAGGAGGAAGGCCAGGAGGCCGGCAGAGTCATCGTGGGACGAGTTCAAGATGGCGTCGATGACAAACACCGAGGGCACCCGCAGGGACACGTCCAGCACGGCCCGCACCCGCTGTGGGGCCGCCATGGAGGGGGGAGAGCGGCTCCCCAGCTCGGGGTTACTCCGTCACCGCCACCGGCGCTCCGCAGCCATGCTCCGCCCCCTGATCACACCTGCGGCGCGGTTGCCAGGCAGACGGCGCCTGCGTCACAATGCGGGGAGACCTATCACGTGTCACGGCGTATGCGCGCGCGGGTCTCTGTGTGTGGGTTTTTTTTTTTTTTTTCTAACTTTATCCAAAGGGAAAAAAAACTGACAGCAGCCTGCTGCACATCCACAGCAAATAAATAAATAAACCACTTAAAGGGCAACAATCCTTTTTTGTAAATTCCACTTTTTAGTAAAACAATGAAATGACCTCAAACTTGTGTTAAAATTCTCATTCTACAATGGACCGTTTTCGACTAAATTCTTGTTAGAAAGTGCAATCTTTATCAATCCTGGCACAGCCAGGGCACGCATTGTCCCAAAATGGCGGCTCTGTCACTACTGAGATTTCCGTAAAAGCAAATAGTGAAATAAAAGCTAGCCATGGGTTACATTATTTATAATATTGATTAAATCTCACTCGTTTAAAGATTGGCATGCACAGCGAAAAGCTTTAAATGACGCTAAATCATTTATATATTATACCTAATTGTGGTGATTTGAAAAATAAATGGCATAATTTGACTAAAAGAGCCAACTAAGAGAGCTGAAATGGAGTTACCTTTTAACCATGGAGCCATTTTGTTGAAAAGTTTTTAATTCCGTTTAGAGCTCACCACAATTCGCTGTTTTGACTTCGGGGCTTATTCTTTGCTTTGGCCTAAACTCTACAATTTATGCTGTTGATACACCACAATGAAATATAGTGAGTAGTGGACAAACCTCTTTGTAGTTTTATTCACTTTAGCACAGCTAGCCCTATTTACATCTTGCAGTAAAAATCACAGTTCAAACAAAAATCGTGTAAGTGAATTTTGTACAATAATAGGGTGCGTTTAACATCTTTACAAAATTTACAAAGTCCCCCGTTTTCACAGAGCAAATTATTTAGTTTAAAAAAATGGAATTAATTCACAACATTTCCATGCCAAGTCCAAGTGTGGACAAAATTTCAATTTTAAAAATTGCACTTTGTCCCTGGACAGGACACCAAACCGGCCAATTTCCATCCAAAAACAAGCTCACAAGACTAATATATAATAACATTAATAGTTAACATAAACACAACTCATACATAACATACCTAACAACATGTTTTGCTTTCAATAAAGTACAATTCTTTGTCAGGAGATAATATTTTACCTTTTATCATAATCACACATTATAAATCATTAGACTTGTGCATTTGTTTTTGGACAAAAATTGGTTGATTCATTGGCACATGTGACTGCATCGGCCATGGTATCATTCTTCACTTCCCTAGTAGCCCCTATTTGCCAAACAGCATCCAGAGGACCATTTTCACCCAAGCCTTTCAAGGAAGGGTGGCAGGGGTTAGGGGGATTGGTCCTTGTTTTTTTTCATCCCCCAGGGTAGTTTTGGAGGCTAAATTCTGGAAACAGAACCTAGGGATCAAGCATTAGCTCAGGCTTTGCATGACAGGGGCTGTGGTGGTCACTTCAGTTTCAACCCCTCACAAGTGGTACTCCCAAGTGGCCAGAGCAAGAAATTTGCTTGCCCTGAAGCAATGGTGATTTTTTTAAAAAGCGCAGCATTTAAAAGGAAATTTGCAAAGTCTCCTACAGGGCTGGATTTTAGTTGGGCCCTGTGTTACTGATTTCCACCACTGAGGTGCAATCTAGGTGGTGGGGAAATAGTAGGGTCCCCCTGACACTCATCCTCCCAGGGATGGGGTGAAAGTCCTCCCCTTGCTGTTGTTTCCAGAGTTTGGCCATCAGGGGAACTACCTGCAGCGGGTAGATCCAGGGAGCAATCCCGAGTTCCTGCCACCCTTTCCCATGCGGCTGGTGTGAAGCTAGCCCCCTTGGAGCTGTTTTGAGTGTTTAGTCCCCGGGGGTCACCACCTGTAGGGGTACACTCAGGGGAGCAAGCCCTGTCACCAATCCTTGAATTGGATGACTCTGCTGGAAGAACTTTAGCCTGAAACTGTTGGGACTTACAAATCAGCAATGTTTTTTGTACTGGCCTGTGCCCATGCAACCTGACATGAGGAAAGAGAAGATTTTGAGATTTTTTTAAAGCTACCCTTGCTTTAGGGTAACCATGTTCCCTGCTATGGCCACCAGTGGTTTGGAGTCCAAGAATAAACCCCTTAAGTCCCTGTCACCCACCTCTTAAAGTGAAACTGGCTCCATGAGTCCTTCTTCGAGGGTTTAGCCACTGGGGGAAACTATGGCTTGGTACTTCAGAGCCACTGCAACCCACACAGTGAGTTTGGCCATCAGAGAGCACCAACTGCAGAAGGGGACCCGGGAAGTAAGTCCCTGCTACTAAATCCTACAAACATGGGGGGAAACTGGTGCCCTGTGAGCTGTTTCCAGAGTTTGGCTAGTGGGATGACACCTGTTGGGATGAGACTCTGGTAGAGAGATCTGAGTACTTGCCACCTATCCTCTTAAGGCTGTAGTGTAAAACTAAGAGCTGTTTCCCCTAAGAGCTTTTCCAGAGTTTGGCCAGCCAGGGTTGTACCTGTTGGGGGCCTAAATCCTTTCAACCCTTTCCCATAAGGCTTGGGTGAAGCAGTTCCCCTGGGAGATGTTTTAAGAGTTTGGCCATCTGGGGTTCTGGGTTTGCCACCTGCAGGGGGAAACTCATCAAGAAAGCCCTAAGCCCTTGCCACCAAACACACAAGGCTGGAATTAAGTTGGACCCATGAGAGCTGTTTCCAGAGTTTAGCCACTGGGGACATAACCTGAGGGGGGCGACCTGTGGAGCAAGCACTGAGCCCATGCCACACTTCCCCACAAGGCTGGGGTAATGCTGTACCCCCGGGGCTTGTTTACAGAGTTTGGCTCCTGCAGATGCCAACTGTGGGAGGGAGACCCAGGCCCGTCTTCCTTTCCCGCAAGCTGGTTCCCTTTTCAGTGTTTGGCAACCAGGTAGCGCTACCTGCGCGGGGCATGTTACCAGGGAGCGAATTATTGGTGCATGCAGCAATAAACTCCTAGAAGTCCTTGGGTGTGAATGGCCAGGGCAGCAAACTTCACCCGTCAGGTGTCTTGGTGCCCCCTTTTGACCAAACTCTGAAAACAGCACCCAGAGTACCTGCTTCATCCCAGTATTTCTGGTATTGGTGGCAGGAGCTCAAGGGGACTGTGATGCTTTTGTGTAATACCTCTTTAATTGGAACTCAACTGCAGAATTTTCTGAGGGCAGGAACAGTAAGTTTCACCTCCTATTATATTGGAGTGAAATCAGTGGACTGTATCTTTAAATAATAATCAGGAAAATGCCAAGTTAGTTCCAACTTGAATTTTAATAATGAAGTTTTAGCCTTAGCAGCAATCCTTATTTGTCAACAGAGAGTTTAAAGAAATTAAATACTATAATTAATTGATATGACTTGCTTTCCTTGACAAAAGATTTACTTAACTTAGAAGCACTCTGGCACTGGAAGGGTTAATTCACCCAATGGAGGAAGAGGAAGGAGTCTCTTTTAACAAACTGCAGTTTAGTAGTGAGAGAAAGGAAGTCCGTTTGTCCAAGCCGAGGTCTGAGAGAGGAGAAGGTAGAAATCCGTTTACAAGCCGAGGTCTGGGAGAGGAGAAGGTAGAATTCCGTTTATAAGCCGAGGTCTGAGAGATGAGAAGGTAGAAATCCGTTTACAAGCCGAGGTCTGAGAGATGAGAAGGTAGAAATCCGTTTACAAGCCGAGGTCTGAGAAGTGGAGCCGGTAGCATCGAGTAGAGCAGCTGATCTCACTGCCGCACCTGAGTGAATAATCCAGCACTTTGAATCTGGCGCGGTCTTCCTAAGTATCGTGGAAAGACCGCGTCAGAAAAAAGGGGCGGAGCTAAGCACCGTGAACCCGGAAGTGGGTTCCGGCGGCAGCATGAATGTTAGGTATACCTGACAGGGACCTTCTGATTCAACCTCCCACCGGTGGTACTCCCCAGTGGCCAGAGTTGGGAACTCGACTGCAGTGAAATGAGGTTGTCAAGTTGTCCAGGCTAAGTTGTCTGGATGCCACAAGCTGTGGAGGGAGACCCATTGCTGGGCCCCCTGTGCACTTGCCACCTAGATTGGAGCTAGGTCTTTTTGAGCAACTTACCAGTTTAGGCCACCAAGAGGTTACACCTCAATGGGAGAACCTAGTAGACTTCCCCTGATCCCCTTATACCAATTCCCTCTAGAGCTGGTGTAAAGCTGATGCCCTAGGTGCTGCTTCCAGACTTTCTCTATCGGGACACCACCTGCAGGGGGGAGACCCAGGAAGCTGTTGGGAAATACAACAACATGTACTGCATAACATATATATACTTAGCACTTGAGCTGTAGATGGCTCTGTGCCGATCAGAGTACTGTTTATATATGCATGTGAACTTGTTGGTACACTCACAGGAAGGAAGTTCTTTGTTTTTCCACATGCTCTTTGTCTCTCTTTCTTTTTCCTTTCACCCTGCTGGCTTCTGTTTCAAGTAACTGATATGTTCTAAATGTTTGCTGTTTTATCCACACAAGTAAAGCCTAATATGCTTCTTCATAATCTACCAGTGTCTCTTTTAGATGCATAACCAACAGAAGCAAGCCCTAAGTCCCTGCTACCATTTCTCACTGATCTACTATTGCCAGTGTTTGACTTGCGTGAATCTGGTCCCCTGGGTCCTGTTTCTAGAGTTTGACCCACAATCCTTGGATAGAACTGGGTTAGTTGGACTGAATTATACATTTTGGCTGGTAGGTGTCTTCATCTGTTGGGGGAGAGATGGGAAGTGAACCCTCAGTCCTTGCCACTCAACAACACATGGCTTTGGTGAACCTGATCCCTTGGGGCTGTTTCCAGAGTATTGCCCTGCGAGTTGGGGACCCATGATGGATCCTCCAGAGCCCCTGCCACTCTTTAGCAAGGCTGCGGTGAAGTTTATTGCCTTTGTGCTGTTACCAGTGTTTGGCCACCAGGTGGCATCCCTTTCAGGGGTGGATACCCAGGGGGAGAGCCTTGCTAGCCTACATGTGGTCCTGAGTCCCTACTACTCTTCCCTGAACCTTGTCGGGAATTG